ATTTATTTATTTATTTATTTATTTATTTATTTATTTATTTATTTATTTGTTTATTTATTATATAATAATACAATAGTAGAATTAAAGTTACAAAATAATAATAAATTATAGAGAGAAACAGAAAAAAAATTTTAAAAAGGTATAGTTTATATACAAATAAATAATTATAGGGCATTGTGTATAATTTTCAAATTTTTGTTTTTTTTTTTTTTTTTTTAAAAAATAATAATAAAAACTATCATCACTGAAAAAATTTACGTTTTGTTCTACTTATTTTAACACCTCTAATTATAAAACAATATATTTATATATAATTTAATAACCTAATAATAAATATAACATTAAAAATTAAAAAAAAAAAAAAAGGGGTAAATTGTGTGTTTATGTGTGTTACAATGTGTGTTAATATATATATAAATATATTATTAACAAATTACCATATAACATATTTTTATTTTTAATTTTTATTTTTTTTATATACATTTTTTAATTTTAAAAATTTTTATTCACATCTATTTCTATATTTTCTTTATTTATTTAATTGTATAATAATAATAAAAATAATAATAAAAATAAAAATAATAATAATAATAAAAATAATAATAATACTTATCAATATTGGAATTTGTTTTTACTGTCATTTGTGTTATTTTTTAACAGTAGTTATTGTAAAACTATTGTTGTTTCACTTTATACAATATTTCCTAACCTTTAATTATAATAAATGTACATAGTGGTTTATTTAATTTTAATTAATTTTAAATTATTAATAATTGTTTAATGGATAAATTTTTATTTTTTTTATTTTTTTTTTAATAATATTTTTTTTTTTGTATAATATTAATTTATTATTATTTATTAATTTCTTTATAAAGATTTAGAACTAACATTTTTTTTAATAATAATTGTATATAGAATTTCAAACAAAATTATATAATTCTTTTCATACAAAAAACAAAACAATAGTAAAACATTATATATATAAATGAAAATGGATGCTTTTTCATGCTTTGGTGTTAGGAATAAAAAAAAGTCATCAGTTTTATTGAAGCAAATGCAGGCTGATGAAAAGGAAGCATTACAAAATCCTAATCATTTTAATTTATTATCAACAGAATTAATACTTTATATATTGAAATTTATGACAGTTCAAGAGCTATGTACAATTGCAAGAATATCCAGAAGATTTAAAGAATGCTGCTATGATAGTACACTTTGGAGAACATTAGCAATGAACAACAATATGCCAAGAAAAAAGATTATTCAAGCATTGAAGAACATGGAATCAACACAAAGACTAAGCGCTGTTAGAATGATCAATTTAAATAATGCCAATATTAAACAAACAACCATCGATTATATTGTCACTCATACACCTCAACTAAAAGAAATTAGACTACATAATCTTAAATTAACTGAAAAGACCTCTAAACTATTAGTTGCCAAGTGTCCCAATTTAGAACAAGTATATATGGATGGAGGAAGAACTAGTGATGAATGTTTAGAATTATTAGCTAATGGTGCAGTTAAATTAAAATCAATTAATCTCCACAAAGTAGAAAATATAACAACCACAGGTATTTGCCATATTATTAAAAATACAAATTTAAGCTTCTTAAATTTTAATGGTATTTCAGGCTGGGATATTAGAACATTAGCCCCATATTGTGGTAAGTTTATTGTTTTATATTGTCATACTTAAATTATTTTTACATACTAATTTCATTTTTTCATAATATAGCTCACTTTACCTCAATGGATCTTGGTTCAAGTAATAATTTAAGCGATGACGATTTGAAAGCATTAACCAGACAATGTAAAAAACTTAAATTTATTTCATTAAAGAGCTGCAAATTAATTACAGATCATGGTGTTTTAGAATTAATTCACGATTGCCCACAACTTATGGATTTAAATTTGGCCTCTTGTAGCAAAGTTACTCGTACTAGTGTTCAACATGTACTTCAACAACTTCATAGTTTAACAACTTTAAATCTTTCATGCTTCAAAAATATTCACCCAATTACATTCCCAAAGAATCCATATAGACTTTTAAATACTCTTTCAACTATCGATCTTTCATTCACAGATGTAAACGATGATGATATTAAACAACTAACAGAATATGCAGTAAACTTAAAGAATCTTCGTCTTTGTGCATGCGTAGAAGTAACTGATGGCTCAATGATTTTAATAGCCACTCATTGCAAGAAATTAGTTTGCGTTGATCTTTCTCGTGAACAACAACAAGCAGCTGGTGGATCTCAAAGTAAAGGACCAATGAAAATCACTTTAGAAACTGTTGAAGCCCTATTCCTCAATTGCCCAGATCTTCAAAAGGTAGCTCTTTCTTATTCAAGTAAAAATAATATCACTAAAAGAAGCGTAATGGAAGTTCATGACCGTAGAATGGTTTTAGGTTGGAAAAATATTAATTTCACTTTAAATGAAGAAAATGTTATAGTAAACAATAACTTGAATAATACCAATAACAATAATAACCAATCAATTAATAATACCCAAAATAATACCCAAAATACCAATCAAAATAATAATAACAATAATAACAATATTATTAATAATAATAATAATAATAATAATAATAATAATAATAATAATAATAATAACACTAACACTAACACTAACACTAACACTAACACTAACACTAACAATAACACTAACAATAACAATAACAATAACAATAATAATAATAATAATAATCAACAAGCCAACAGCCAAATCAACAGCCAAACCAACAACCAAACCAACAATACCAATAATATAAATAATAATAATAATAATATTAATAATATCAATAGCAATAATAACTCTCCAATTCCTAGTCCAAACTATTATAATCCATCTATTATACCAAACAACAATATACCGATTCGTAACCCATAATTTATTTAAACAAAAAGCCGGATGTAACTTATATAAAAAAACCCATATATATTTTCAATAAAAATAATAAAACTATAATCTCTTTTTTCTTAAATATAAAATTAAAAAAAGGATTGTGTTTTATATATGTTAAAATAAACTGTAACTATTTACAAAATTTATTCTCTTTTTTTTTATAAAAATGGTAAATAATATTATTTTAAAACTTTGTTGTCTTAACAATTAAACTCTACTTTTTATTTTTATACATTAAAAGAAAAGGTTTTTGTATCCATCAAATAGTACAAAAATTATAATACTTTTTTATTGAATTTATTTTTTTTTTTGTTTTTTTTTTAAATTCTAAATTGTGTGGAACATTTAGTTGAAGGAGAAGAAGGTAAAGATAAATGTTGCAACACTAACAATACCAATAATAATTTTACAAGTGCTTTCGGCGAGTGGAGTGGTAATACCCTATTAATTAAATTATTAATTAGTTAACTATTAAAAAATATTAATCAAACTATAGTTATACAAACTTTTTGAGTTTCATCCCAAAAGAGATGACGAATACCAGTTGAGGTGTGATAGGCTAATGGAAAAGCAATACAGAACTTAGCTGGGTAGACAAGGAGTGGATAATTAGTTTTTAACATATCAATGTAAACAGTGACATCTTGTGGAGCAAAAAGAGCAGTTGAGCAAACACCAAAAAGACCTAATTATATTTAATAATAAAGAACATTAGTATTTTTATTATTATTATTGTTATTATTTTTGCTATTTAAACTATAGAGGTAGTTCATTTAAAAATTAATTACCTAAACCCAAGAAAACACCAGTAACTCTGTGTAAAATACTCATTACAGCTGGTAATGGGAATCTATAAATAAGCACATGTGGGGATGTTGGTTGCTTTGGTACTCTAAGTTCCTCAGCTTTCTTTTCTGTTATAGTGAAATGTTTTGGTTGAGTAGAATAGTTGACTTCTGGTGCACTACCTCTTTGTGGTTTGATGATAGGTGCTGAAACTGAGTTGTAGGTAGTATTTACCAAAGCTCTATCCAAACTCTTTAAAATTGGGTTAAAGTTTTTGTTGGTAAATGAATGTAGAGATCTTCCAAACATTGTTTCTTTTTATAAAAAGTAGATATAAATAAAATAAATAAAAAAATATATACAAAAAAATAAATAATATGTAAAGAAAAAATTTTAATTTTTTTAAAAAAAAAATAAAAAAAATAAAAAATAAATATTATTTTAATTTTTTTTTATTTTTTTTTTTTTTTATTTTATTATTGTTTTGGATAAATGTTCACCCAAACACACACAAAAATAAATATATAAAAAATGAAATGAAACAATTATATAAATTTTTTTTTTTTTGTCTAAAAATAGTAAATAAATTAAATACATAATCTTTTTATTTATGAGTTTTTGGTAAAAAATAAGCATCACAATGATAACCATTACAACCAAATTTGGCACCTCTCCATGAATCTAAATAATAACCTTCTGGACAAATTGGTAAAAACAAAGCACAACCACCACTGTCAGTACAGGATGGACTGGTAAGACATCTGTTTTCATCTCTTGTGAAAATAACAACGTTATTAGCTTTACATTTAAGGAGAGGTAGTGATGGGCATTTGGATGATGGATCTGGTAAACGAACATATGAATTTGAAACAACCACTTCACCATTAACAATTGTTCCCTGGCCAATTAGACCATTATCATCTGATCTAACAGTTTTAGATGATAACCATTCACTGTCAAATAAACTACCAACATTAGCTTCATATGGTTGTTTAATTGAACTTACTACTTGACTTTGACCATATAGGTTGACCAATACGGCTTTAGTTGATGGACATGGAGCTTTGATACATCTAATACCTTTTTTTTGCATTATAAAATAATTAATATTTAAAAATAATATTTTTGAATTAGTTGAAATACATACCATTGTCACTGAACAAGTAAAACTTATCTGTTGAAGCTGGTGTATTACCTAATGGTAATTTTTTATATGCTCTAATGACATTAAAATCACTTGCCTCTTTTGGAAAACCTGGGCTTGGGCTAATGTTACCAAAAAAGATTACAGAGTTTGATTCATTTGAAGTTAAATAATTCTGATAAGATTTTAATGATGCTGGAAGATTAATACTTAATATGTTTTTAGTGTCATTACAATTTAATTTTGTAGCAACATATTGTGGACAAGGGGCTCTATATAGAATTTAAAAAAAAAAAAAATTATATTAATATTAATTAGTTACTATATGATTAAAAAATATAGTTACCTAAAACATCTGATATCTTCCCAAGAAACTGAGTAATACCCATTTGGTCTAATCATAGCATTTTCCTCTGCTAAGCAAAAAGAAATAAAAAAGACAATACAAAGAGATAAAAATAATTTCATAATTTTAAAAAAAAAACAAATAATACTTTTATTATAAAAATATTTTTGAATTTATATACAAATATTTTTAATTGAAAAAATAAAATTTTAAAAAATAATTTTATTTTTTTTAAAATAAAATAAAAAATATTAAAATAATAATTAAAAAAAATAGCTAGCTGGTTGGTTTTTTATTTATATATATATACAAATGTATCTATTAAAGAAATTTAATTAAATAAATTTTTATATGTATAAAATTATTGGTTGTGTGCCAAAAAAATAATAAAAAAAATTAAAAAAAAAAAACACAGAAAACTATTTGGGTATTGCATCATGGGGGGTTATATATTAATCAAAAATGGAAAATAAAATATTATTCTGTGATTCTATCCACCCATAAAAAACAGAAACAATCTAATATCTAGGTTTATTACTAAATTAAGTTATCAAGAAAAAAAAACAAAAAAAATAGTTATTGGTTAACTATTGTTATTACTTGGAATATCAAATATGTGTTATAGAAGCTCCAATCTCAATTATAACCCCTGTTCCAAGATATAAATTGATTTAATTATTAAACAGAGATAAAATAATAAACATGTATTTAATACAGAAAACAAATATAAACAAATAAAAATAAAAATAAAAATTTTCTTTTAACTTTCTATCATTTTTTTGTGTATATATCAACCATCATTTCTATTTTAAACTTTGTTTTTATATATTTTATTCTTACTTTATTTAATCTTTATACAACTATAATAATATTTTTTATAATATTATCATTTTTTTTTTTTTTTTTTTTTCATTTGTTTGGGTTTAATTATTTATATTTTTTTAAACTGATATTGATATTTTTAGTTGAATGGATAAAAAGTAAGGATTAAAGTAGCAATGCTAACAACACCAATAATGAGTTTGCTTGAATTATCAACTTTTGGGATAGTTAATGATCTTTGAGTTTCATCCCACCATAAATGTCTTAAACCTGTGAATAGTTAAATATAATAGTATTAGAAAATGATGATATGATTATTATAGTTATTGTGATGATGACTTACCAGTAGTAAAGTGATAAACTAATGGGAAAGCAATGCAGAATTTAGTTGGGTAGACAAGTAATGGATAACTGGCCTTTAACATATCAATGTAAACAGTGATATCTTTGTGGAGCGAAAAGAGCAGTAGCACAAACACCAAAAAGACCTAATTTTAATAATATTTATGTTAATATTATTTTTTCTTTTTTTTTTTTTTTTTAAAGAAATTATCTTTTTTTTTTATAATTTAATCTAAAATAATTATTTAAAGATAAAATCCATCACTAATATATTATATTTATATAATTACCTAAACCTAAAGAAACACCAGTAGCTCTATGCATAATTGAGATATTGGCTGGTAATGGTAATCTGTAAATAGTAAGATGTGGTGAAGTTGGTTTGATTGGAACTCTGACTTCTTCTAATTTCTTTTCAGTCATGGTGAATGGTTTTGCTTGAGTTGAGTAACTAACTTTTTTTGATGGGACAATTGGTTGTGATGAAACAGAGTTATAGGTGGTGCTAATTAAAGCTCTACCTTTTAAAACTGAGGCATTGTTTCTAGCTGTGAATGATTGTAAAGTTCTACCAAACATTTTAAATTTTAAATTTATTATTTATTATTTCGAAAAATAAAAAATTACAATGAAACGATGAATATGTAAATTAAAAATTATGAAAATAAAAAAAAAAAAAAAATTTAAAAAAAAAAAAAAAAAATTTTTAAAAAAATTTTTTAAAAAACTAAAAAAAAAGTTTTAAGAGACATGTCTCTCTATATAAAAAAACAAAGACTGAGATTCTGTTTGTCATTCTTATGTTATGATTTATAACTAATAAAAATTAATGTAATTTTAATAATAATTCATATAAAAATGAAATAAAAAAAAATAGTAATAAAAGAAATAATAGAATTATAATAAATTGAAAAAAAGAATTGTTTTGTTTTTTTTTTTAAAAAATGCATTTTGTTTTTATTTAAATTTTTTAAGAAGAAACTCATAGAAAATAAAGGAATAGGCTGGAAAAGGAAAAAAGACAAAGGAAATACTCTATAAGGATAAATTAAAAGAATTTACATTAGTAAAATGATCACATAAATTATTTCTATTATTTTTTTATTAAAAAAAATATTATTTTATTGTGATAAATTGTGTCAGAATTATGGAAAATCTTTATAATCAGCTTTTTTTTCAGGTTAAAGGAATTGACATATAGATTTTTTTAATCATCATTAAATTTACACAATATTTACTGTTTTCTAAAATATATACATACCAATTCAAAAAATCACAAAAAGTTCGGTTTTTATTATTTGTAATAAATAATGAAAATAAATTTTTTTTTTTTTTTTGAAAACAAATTTTTTACTTTTTTTTTTTTTTTTCAAAAAAAATAAAAATAAAATTAAAAAAAAAATAAAAATAAAAAAAAAAAAAAAATAAAAAAACTATTTTTTTTATTTAACGTTACTTAAACATTGTTTGTTATATATAAAATAAATATTATAAAATACAGTAAAATAAATTTAATAAAATAAAAATAATAATAAATATAAATAAAATAAAGTTTTTGAAAGCTTTTAAAGTTTGGTAAAAAAAAAAAAATTTGAAAAAAAAAAAAATTTATAGTTTGTTTTATTAGGGGGATTACTATTTACAAATTTTAGAGTTGTTTTAAATATACAATGGTTTGATTAGTTTTTAGTTTTTTCAAATTTGATATTGATATCTAAAAGATTTTGGATTGCCAAAGAGATATTGGTTTCAGTTGATAAGACATATTTAATGATTTCATCAGAAATATTTGGGAACATTGCTTTTAATTGTTTTAAAAGCTCAGCGTCAACTGGTGGAGAAGTAGTAGTGGTGGTGGTAGTGCTAGTGGTGAATGGATCTAAAGTTTTAAATGGTGATGATGGGGAATGGTATGGTGGTGGTGGTGAAGTGGAGTTTGAAGTGAATGATGATGATGATGGTGATGGTTGTGAAAAGGTAATTGGTTGTGAGGTTGTGTTTGGTTGGATGTAGTTGTACAAGTGTTGAGTGTTGGAGAATGGGTTTGGAGATGGTTGGCTAGATGGAGCTGGGACGTAGTGAATTTCAGGTTCCATTAATTTACCTAAATCTCTCATTACATCTTGGAAGAGTTTGGTGTTTGCTATCTCTCTTTTTCTTTCAGCAGAGGTATACTTAACCTCTAAGAGGAGATCAGTAACTCTTTTTTTGTTTCTTTCTTCTCTTTCGTATTCTTCTCTTTCTCTTTGACGTTGTTGACGGTATTCTTCCTCTAAACGTTTTTCACGTCTTAATCTTTCACGGTACTCTTGATCTTCGATATCCCTCATAAAGTGATTGATCGTGGATTCTAAATTGTATCCATTGCTTTTTAATATGGTGCCGATTTGATGATCAGTGAATTTTGAACCAAAAACATCACGTACTTGACTAATTAATCTTAATTCTCTTTCACGTTCTCTTTGTTTCATTTCAGCCTTGATACGATTATCATCAATACGTCTTTCGATTTGAATTTGTTCTGCTTCTAAATATTCGTGACGTCTTTGAAGTGATGGTAAAGCTGCATCTAAACTCCAACCACAACGTTCTAATGTGCTGTATAAGAAATGATCACGTGATAACAATGGGAACATTGTTATAACTTGTTCTATTTTTCTTTCTTTTTCGTATGGTGAAATTAATGGCTTGTTGTCATTTTTATTAAAAAAAAACATCTTTTCTTTTTTTTTTTTTTTTTTTGTATAAACTAATTAAAAGTTTTTTTTTTTTTTTCTTTAAAATAAAAAATATAAATATAAATAAAATTAAACTAAAGTGATAACAAATAAAATACTACAAAATAAAATACAATAAAACAACAATTTATTTTTTTTATTTATAAAAAATTTAATTTGAGGATGATAATCAGAAAAAAAAAAGAAATTTTATTTTTAGTTGAAAAAAAATATATTAACACAAAAAATTGAAAAGATACTAAAAATATATTTTTTTTTTTAAAAATTTTTATTTTTTTTAATTTTTTTTCCCACACCTCCTTTCGAAGAAATTATTTAAATAAATAAATTTATTTGATTTGATTTATAAAAATTTAATTAAAATAATGATTGTGATTTGTAAATTTATTTATTTTTGGTTATTTAAAAATTTTAAAATGGAATTATTTTGATCTGGATCCATGTTTTTATTATTGTTATCATACCATTCTTTTAAATTGGATGAGTCTATTGCAAAGTTTATTGATATATGATTTAAAAGTTGACCATATTGATTAAAAAAAATTATTATATCTAATACTTCTTTTGTTTTTGCAAGTTGCATATTAATTTGAATTTGCTTTATGATATCAAATAAATATTTAAATAGAAGTGTAGTATAAGTTTTATTTAAATTCTTTGACCAAATATCTATTGAAATTTTTTCGATACCACCAATTTCATTATTATCGTTTATATTATTGTTTTTGATATTTTGATTGTTATTTTGATTGCTATTTTGATCACTATTATTGTTTACTATAGGATTATCTATATTATTATTTTTGTGTATTAGATTTGTTGATTTTGATTTTTTAAATATGAAATTGAAAAGATCAATAAGCCCATTAGAAACACCAAGAAAGCCATAAATATAGATGTTTTTTAATGATGGCATTGGTGGAGGATATACAAAGACACCATTATCATCACACTTTTTATAAAATGAGGGAATTTGTTTAGAACCATCTATTGAAACTTCATTACTATCAATTACAAAGGTTTCGATCCTTGAAAAATAATACCCCAATTCTTTTCTACTTGTTTCAAAATAGGGAATTAGTGATAAAGATCCATATCTGAAAAATAATGGAGGATGTTTATTCAAATTGCTTTTATTGTAATATGTTTTTATTGGTGAATGGTTCCACTCGTAATAGTTGTTATCCATTAAATCTGAAAGTTGTTTAAAAAATCTTTTTGAAATTAAACCTAAATAAATCATTTTTCTTATATCTATAACTTTGTAATCACTATCAACAAAGGAAAATTTGAAAAGCTCGTTTATTATAATTTTAATTATGAAATCTGGTAAATGATTAATTGACGCTTTATTATTATCTATTGTATCGTTTACATTGCTTTCAATATTATTATTATTATTATTATTATTATCATTATTTTTATTATGATTATGATCATTGTTATTGTTATTATTTATTTTATTTTTCTTTATTTTTTCTAGAGCCACCTCTTCAAAATCCTTGATACTTAATAAACCAAGTTCTGTAAAAGTTGTTTCACATGGATATAAACTGTACATCATATCATTCTATAAATATTACAATTAGTAAAAATTTTAGAATTTATATTATATTATGTTAATTACCATTTTTTGAGAAGAAAAAACCTGTGTTTTTTTTAAAATTTTTAATTTCTTTTTAAATAATATTTTATCTTTAGATTTTTCTTTAAACCATTCGTCAAACTAAATAGATTAGGGTATTAGAAAATTGGTTATAGGGGTTATAATTGTTTCTAATTTTGAGTAAATACCTTTTCATTCATTAATATGTTATATAATAATTTTTGGAAGATTTTTGGTTTGAGTTTTGGTTGTATATTATTAATTTCCTTAACTACGAGAAAGCTTGAATCGAGAAATACATTGACAATAAAGTGAATATAGTGTTCTAAATTATAAAATTCAGGTGCTTTCTTTTTATGATAACTATTAAAATATTTAATAGATTCGATTCTGTCTTCTTCATTATTTGATTCAAATAATTTAATATTATCTATTAGTTTTAAAAGTTTGCATTCTATTTTTTTATCTTCTAGATCCTCACTGCTATTTTCATTATTACAATTAAATATTCTTTGCTTTTTTTCAGGTTTTTGATCTGACATGTCTGGTGTGTATATATAAAATTAAAAAAAAAAATAATAAATAATTTAATTTTTAAAAAAAAAAAAAAAAAAATAAAAAAAAAAAAATTAATTAATTTTAATAAATTTTATAAAACAGTTCACATTTGTTTTTTTTAAAATTATTTTTTAATTACATTAAAATTTTCTCATTTAATTACATTTTTGACCAAAACAATTCATAAATTTTATAAAAATATAAAAAAAATAAAATGAAAAAAATCTTTTTTTGGTTTGAATTATTTGAATAACCCTTATAAAAAAAAAAAAAAAAAAAAAAAAAAGATATTATTTTTGTGTGTATTAAAAATAGGTGAGAATTAGGGTTGTGTTTTGTTTTTATTTTAAATTTCTATTTAATTATTATAATCAAAACAATAACAAAATAAAAAATTAAAAAATTAAATAAAAAAAGGTTGGTATTACTTTTTTTTTTTTTTTTTTTTTCATAACAAATACCACATTTTGAATTAATTTATTTTTATATAAATAAATTTATATATTTAATTTATTAATTAAATAATTTTTTTTTTATTTTTATTTTTATTTTTTATTTAATTTTTGTTAAAATATTTATAAATATAAATTATATAATAATTTAATATTAATAATTATGATTCAATATTTAGTAACAAATACAACCAATCCATCACCATTAAATTCAGAATCAACAACCCCTCCTATTAGTTTTTGTATCGTTGGTGGATCTTTATTAAAATTCCCAATTTATTATGAAGGAGATGTAATTGCAGAAAAAAGTTATGGTATTGCAATTGGACCAATGAGTGGACCATTAGACAACATCAAAATTCCAGAGGATCTTCAAGTTCTTGTTTTCCTCGATGGCTTTAATGAAACTATTAAAGAAGATTTTATTGGACCACGAGTTACAACTTTACATTTCTTTGACATACTCAAACCTTTAGAACCAAAAAAATCAATTCCTTCAACTGTCAAAAATATATACTTTGAAAATGGCTTTAATCAACCTCTTAGTAGCGATGTTGTTCCAGATTCAGTCAAAGAGATTCATTTCTTTGATATCAAGTCTACTCTTACACAAGAATCATTTTCAAAATCTAGTAAATTAAACACAGTTTATTTAGAAAATGGGTTTGGCCAAGTATTAGAGGATGGAATATTACCACCAACATCAACTATTAGAATAAATAATATTTCTCAACCACTATCAAAAGGATCAATTCCAGATGGAACAGAGTACGTTGTTTTTGAAAATGGTTATAGCCACGAAATAGTTGAAGGAGTTGTACCATCTACAACAGTACAATTAGTTTTTAAAGATATTAAAAAACCATTAGTCCAAGGTTCCATCCCATCAAATACATCAAATCCTTTAGAAATTGTTTTTGACGAAGGATATTCCCAACCATTGAATCCAAATGTAATCCCATCCAATATTACAGAGCTTACTTTCCATTGTTTCGATTTTCCTCAATTAAATACCGACTCAATTCCATCATCAGTAACCATACTATATTGTTGCAAAAAATTACGTAAAGACTATATCAAGAATGTTGAAAATTTTAAAGATAAAGTTCAAAAATTAAAATCAACTTTTTAAAAAAAAAAAAAAAAAAAAATAATAATTAATTAATTTTGTATTATAGGAAAAAGTCATATAAATAAAAATGTATTTATAAATATCAAAAAAAAAAAAAAAAATTCTTTTGAATACCAATAAAAAAAAAAACAGAACAAAACATTAAAATTGATAATAAATAATTTTAATATATTTGTAAAAAAAAATTATTTTTTTGTTTTTTTTTTTTCATTTTTTATTTTTTATTTTTTTTTAAATTTTTTCATTTTTCTTTTTTTTATTTATTAATTTTCTTTTTTTATTTTTTTATTTATTTTTTTTATTGGTATTCAAAAAGAAATATAAAAATATAAAATATTATAAATGGAAAATACATTACAAACACCACCAACAATAGAAAAACCAAAAATCAGAGTTATAAAAAAAGTAATTAAAAAAAGACCACCAGCCAACCCAAATACAATTACATCGAATAAATCAACATCAGCAACGGCAACAACAGGTTTAAAAAGTGATATAGACAAATCAAATGATATAGATAATTTAAATAATAAAATAACAGGTTTAAAAATAAAAGAAAGTAACAGTAGCAATGATACTATCGAAATAAAAAAAGATGAGCATGGTAATAGTGTAATCAAAAATAAACCACAAGTAGTCAGTAAATCTGAAATTTTAAAAAAAACAATAAAAGAAAAAGTTTATTTTGATAAATTAACATTTGATTCTCAAATGTTTTTAATCGAAAATGAGACCACAGAAGACCAATTAAAAAATCATTATGTATGTATCATACTACAATCTTTCATATTACAGACTCTATTTATTAAATAGATTATTAATATGATTTTATGTTTTTAATATAGTATAATTATCTTCAAGACAGCCATTTTAAAGATATTGTTGTTGAGAGATCGACTTCACTTAAATGTGGGTATCCATGTTGTGGTAAATCAATAGATAGCAAAAAAATATTAAATCAAAAATACAAAATTTCCATTAAAGAACAAAAAGTTTACAATGTAGAGGAGTTATCAATGTTTTGTTCATCAGATTGTTTAATTAAATCTAAACTTTTTGAATCAACTTTAGATTCAACTGCAGTATATTTAAGAAAGGTTAATGGTACATCAAAACAACCTACTACCCCATCCAATAATGCCGATGCTAATAAGAATAAAGATGCAGATAAAGTTTTTAATTCATTCGAGTATGTATTCTTTGAAATTATTTTTAAACTATTTAATACAACTATATTTCCAATATTAATATACCAATTCTCATTAAAGAAAATCATTGAAAATTACAGAGAATGAAAATGCAAGTTTACAACCACCAAGTTCGGTATTTGGTAATAATGATGATACATCAACATTTAGTAATAACTATGATAATAATAACAACACTTCAGCAGCAGATAAAAAAAAGGAAATTAAAGAAACTGAAATAAAAGCAGCACCATCACCAACAACAACAGCAACAACAACAACAATTAACCATAATATAACAACAGACACTAAAGTAGAAAAAAAGAAAATTAAAATTATTGATCCAAATAATATACCACTTGTAAATAAAATTAAAGATACTAGCGATGATGATGGAGATAGTAGCATTGATAATGAGGATTTTTCAGATCAAGACGAATTTGAAGAAGAAAACCCAGGCGAAATAGATTCAGACTCTGAAGATGAGGAGAACGATGAGGATTTAGAAAGTAAAAGTGACATTACAGCAGAGTCATCGGATGACGAGTTTTCATTATTTAGACCAAGTTCATTAAGTACTAAAAAATATCAAGATTTATATAAACCTTCAAACTATCATTCAATTTACTCAGCTCTCAGCCAATTTATTACCAAGCATACCAATATCTTTATTAAAACAAATCAAGTAAATTATGAATATATTTTAGAACAAAATATGGATATTAAATCATCATTACACACTCAACTAAATTTAATGTAAATAATAATATCTGTAATAATAATAATAACTAAATACTAATATAACTTCAATCTATTTTTAGATACCCAAGCGTATTAGAACAATTAAATTTCAAACGAACAACAGGAAAAGATAAAGTTATTATGTTACTAGACACATTCAAATTTGATAAACAAATACCATCATTAAAGAGAAATCATTGGAAAATGATGATTTTGGTTTTTTTAAAAGTGTAAGTAAAAAAAAATTCAATTCAATTTAAATTCATTAGCATATACTAATTTATTTATTTTTATTTTTATTACAAACAGTTTATCAAAAAATGATAAAGATTTAGAACAAGATATTAAAGATAAATTTGAAGAATTTACAAATTTGGTTATTGAGTGTGGTTTTGAATTCGATACCTTAAAAGTATTTGAAGATTTATTAACTTTTGGTTATGAATAAATTAAATAAATATTAATTTAAAATAAACTAAAAAGGTGTTTTAAATTATAAATATTATTTTTGGATATCAAGCAGTATCTTTCTTAGTTTTATTTTTATTCTAGGTAAAAATAAAAATTTTTTTAATTTAATTTTTTTTTTTTTATTTTTTTTTTTTTAAATTCATTTTTTTTCTTTTTTTATTTTTTTTATTTTTTAGTTTTTATTTGCAAATAAAAACTTCAACAAATTGTTTATATATTTATATAACTGTTAAAATAAATTAATGACAATAAAATAAAATGAAAATCTTAAATGTTGCAGAAAAACCATCAGCAGCAAAAGAGATTGCTCAAATTTTATCAAATAAAAAATGTAGAATGGTAACTAATAACTTTAAATTAAAACATTTAAAATATAATTTATTAAATTAATACATACTAACTTTAATTAGAGAGAAGGTAAATCTCAATATAATAAAATTTGGGATTTTCATTTAGATATTTTAAATCAAAAAGGTGCAGAAATGATATTTACCTCAGTGACTGGTCATTTAATGGAAACCGATGTAGACGAGAGATATAAACCATGGAACTCATGCGAGCCTATAAAATTGTTTGAGGTACCTATTAGAAAGATTGTTTCACACGACAAATTGAATATCAAACAACAACTAGAAACCGAAATAAAAAAATGCGATGTATTAATATTATGGTTAGATTGTGATAGAGAAGGTGAAAATATAGCGTTTGAGGTATTGCAAGTATGTAATAGTGCAAAAAAAAGGTTCAAGGTTTATAGAGCAATATTTTCTGCCATTATTCCAAGAGAAGTTAATAGAGCAATCGCAAATTTAAAAGAACCAAATGAAAAAGACTCCATTGCAGTAGACACTAGAATTGAAATAGATTTAAGATTGGGTGCTGCATTCACAAGATTTCAAACTTTATATTTAAAAAAATTTCAACTCGACCAACCCCAACCCACACAGCAACAACAACAAAAGAGTATTATTTCATATGGTCCTTGTCAATTTCCTACTTTAGGTTTTGTAGTAGAAAGATATTTTAGAAAAACGAATTTTGTAAGAGAGGATTTTTGGACAGTTAATGTTTATGATAATCGAAGAATTGAAACAAACAATGATGACAGTATGGATTTAAGCGATGATACTATTGGCGGCAAGAAAACTAAACAAAAACAACAAGGACCAAGCGAGGTTGTTTTCTCGTGGAAAAGAAAACGTTTATTTGACTATTCAACTGCATACATATTATATGAAAAATGTTTAGATAATCCTCAAGCAGTAGTTGTCGATATTAACACAAACGATTCAAAATATAGACCACTTCCACTTACAACTATAGAACTCCAAAAGCAAGCATCAAAAAAATTAAGAATTTCCTCAAGTGATACCATGGCGATTGCAGAGGATCTTTACAATAAAGGTCTAATCAGTTATCCAAGAACAGAAACAGATACATTTCAACAAGGAACGGATTTTAGAGGTTTGATTGGTATTCAAGGTAGTCATCCTCAATGGGGTCAATATGCGCAACGTTTAAACAATGGTGAGTTTAAATATCCTAGATCTGGTACAAATAATGATAACTCCCATCCACCAATCCACCCAACTGCTGCTTGTCCAAGTACTCTCCCAGATAGATCAAAGAAAGTATACGAGTTTATTACTCGTAGATTTTTAGCATGTTGCTCCACAGAATCTGTATTGGGAAATACTAGTGTAACCATTGAAATTGAAGGCGAACAATTTGTAGAAACTGGTGTTATGGTAAAAGAGTGGGGCTATTTAGAAGTTTACCCCTATGATAAAAGATCAAACAAAACAATTCCCAAGTATAGGAAAGGTGAAAGATTTCAAGTAAAGAGAATTGAATTATATAATGGTACTACACAGCCACCACATTTCCTTACCGAATCTGAACTTTTATCTGCTATGGATAAAAACAAAATTGGTACAGATGCAACAATGGCCACCCACATTCAAACCATTCAAGATAGAGGATATGTAATAAAAAATCAAGAGAGTCAATTCGAACCAACTAAATTGGGTATCTCTTTGGTTGCAAGCTATGAATTAATGGGTTTTCAATTTTCAAAACCAGAACTCAGAGCTCAAATCGAATCGGATGTAAATGAAATTAGTAAAGGTCGTAAGCAAAAAGAGGAGGTATTACGTACAACTATTGAAAGATATAAAGAGCTCTTTGAAATAGCTTTTCAAAATACAGATTGCTTTGATAGATCCTTTACACAATTTTATCAATTGGCCGAACAAAGAACAAACTTCCATATTGAAAAGCCCCAACTTGTTTTATGCGGTAAATGTAATAATAAAATGGATTTTAAATCTGATCGTAATCAAGAAACTCCAAAGAGAATTTTAAGTTGTCCAACCTGTAAGGATAGTTTTGACTTGCCAGTTAAAGGAGAGATTGGTGCACTAACAGAAACTGATCCACTTTTTAATAGAACCTCACCAAAATTATGCCCACTTTGTTCTTATCAAGTAGTAACGGTATATAATCAAGAAAAAGATTATACCTATACCATTTGCCCAAAGTGCAGGAATAAACCCCCATTTCCAGATAAACAAAAACCATTTCATTGCTTTCAATGTACTAATACTGATTGCTCTTTAGCAAAAGGTAAAACTACACCATCAACATCTAGCAACAATCAAAATAATAATAATAACAATAATAGCTATAGAAACACAAATACGACAGCAACAGCAACAAGAGGTGGTAGATTTGGAAAGACTGCTGCCTCTACCAGAGGTGGAAGGTCCTCAACAAATACCAGACCCGTCACTACTTCATCCAGTAGAGCCAGCCAAAGGGTATTTTCAGCAACAAATAAAAGTGCCCCAACAGTTAAAAAAACTAATAATTTAAATTGGTAATACAATATTTTTTTGATTGTAAAAAAAAAAAAAAGTAAAATAAATATCCACTCCTTATAAAAGGAGTATTGTAAATATAAATATAAATGATTTTTTAATTATTTCCAAAACAAATTCCTCAATTTATAGTTTATTTTTATTGTTATATTAACCTATGTATTGTGTAAATTGATTTTTAAAATTAAAATAATGATTTATTTAAATTAAAAATAAATAAATAAATAAATAAATATATAAATAAAAGTTTTAATATGTTTCAGAGATATAAATAGAGTCACAATTGTAAACTGGACATCCAAAGTTACCACCTGGATATGATGCTAATCTGTAGCCAGTTGGACATGTTGGAACATATAAAGCACATGCACCGGATTGGGTGGTACAGGTTGGGTTGGTAAGACATCTGTTTAAGTCCCTTTCATAGACAGTAGTAAAACCATCAGCACATTTAAGAAGAGGAAAGGATGGGCATGGTTTCGATGGATCTGGTAAACGAACATAAACTGATGAAAGAACAATTTTTCCAGTAGAGTCGATTGAACCCAAACCAATATATCTTTGTGTTTCATCATTGAATAGTTTAGCTGATAACCAACTACCATCAAAAAGATTAACATTGGTAGAATAAGGTTCATATATATCTTGAACTGCTGTTGAAGTGGCAGTATTCAATAAAGCTGCATCTATTGAAAAACATGGTGTGGTGATACATCTAACTCCATTATCACCAATCATATAATACTTGTCAGTTGAAGTGGATACATTTGGTTGTGGTAAACGTTTATAAGCTTTGACAACTTTAAAATCATTCATGTTATATCCATTTCTATTTGCAATTAAAGAACCATAGAAAATAACAGTATCAGCTTCTGATAAAGTTAAGAAATTTTGTTCTAAACCATTTGGGAAAACTATAATTTAATTTTTAAATAAGTAAAAATTATATAAAAAATTATATAAAAAATAAAATAATATTACCTATATTTTCAACAACTATTGCACCATTATTGGTATTTATTTTTTGAACTTCATATTGTGGACATGGGACGGTGATACATTGAATGTTTCTATATGACAACTTGTAATAGTAATTGTTAATGGTAGCAGAGGACTCTGCACCATAACATGAAACAAATAAAACAAAAAGAGATAAAATTATATAAAACATATTTAATAAAAGTGGTATTTAATTTAAAAAATAATCAAAATTTCTTTTCTATTTATATCAAAAAAAAACATATAAAAAATAAATTATAAAAAAATAAATTTTAATTATTCAAAGAAATTAAAAATAAAATAAACAAAATCCATTTGTTTATATGTAATATGTATACTTTTATTTGTCGCTTTAAAAATGATATCTTTTTCTGCAAAGATTTGTGATTCTTAAATTTTTATTTTAAATTTTATTTTACCCAATTAAAATCTACTTTAAATAATCGAATCATTTTCTACTATAAAAATAACTGGTGGTTTAAATTGGTCATTATTAAAAATTAGAGAATATCTTTGAACTTTCTATTGTTTTTTTTTAAATAAAATCAATTTCTTTTTTTTTTAAATTTGCATTTATTTAAATTTCAAAATAAATTTAATTTACTTTAAAAAAATAATAATGTAATTATAAATATTTATTTGAATAGATTTTTTTTTTTTTTTTTTTTTAAATTTGATAGTTTTTTTAAAATAATGATCATTGATGCTTTTCTTTTTAGAAATACCAATTAAAGATAATATCAATAAATTGATTATAATAACCAAATCATTCTTGCCCCAATCAAAAAAAAAAAAATTAAATAAAATAGTTTTTTTTTTTAAAAAATAGATATTTTTTTTTTTTTTTTGGTGATAAAATAAATTAAAATTAAACACTAATATTGCGTGAGTGTCTCCACTTTTTGAAAATCAAAAAAAAAATACTCAACTTTTTTCACATTTTTTAATTTTTTTATAAAAAACTCCTCTTCACATTTAAAAAAAAAAATTACAAAGGGGTCGAATTTAAGATATAATGGGAGATTAATAATGGAAATAAATACCAACCCATTTTTTGAATTGGTGTATATTTTTTTTTTTTTTTCCTCACAAAATTTTTTTTAACAATATCTTTTTTTTTTTTTTTTTATTATTATTTTTTCAATCTAAAAATTTTTTATAATAAATATAATGAAAACTATATTCATTTTATTTGTAATTTTTATTTCTTGTATCTACAAAAGCAGTGGTTTCGATGCCTTTGGTAGTATTGACGAAAGTCAAAAAAACTCGAAACCAATTTCAAGATTTTTCGATTACCAAATCAATTATAATGAAGAATCTTATACAATGGCATATACATATCAGAACCTAAATGAAAAATACAACTATGATGTGGTTACTGTAGGAAATTATGAGTTTACAACAAACTATCATCCATGGATTATTTTAAATTCAACAACAGGTAATTTTATAAAAAAAAAAAATTATTTTTTAATTTATAACTTTAAATATTAAAATTTTTTTTTTTTTAGTTTTATTAAAAAGTGAATATTTATTAGATTTTGCAACTTATTCTGATAAAGATGGTTTTAAAAGAATCTCAACTCCATTATTAAGTAAATTTAAATATGGTGAATATTTTTGTATAAATAAATATTACGATGATACTTTAGATATTTTTATTTTAGCATCTAGAGAAAAGGGAAATCAAGGTATATTCATATATAATTTATTAAATGATACAAGGTAAATTAAATTTTTATTGTTAACCCTAAATGAAAAAATGAAACACTAATTATTTGATTTTTTTTAAAAAAAAAATAAACAGTTATAGTTTTAAAGCTGGATTTTCAGCCGAATTTGACTCAATTGTTGATTTATATTATGATATAAATGAAAAAATGGTTTATTTTGTTAAAACCCTCCCAACACAAGTATTTACATTGAATGTTTTAACAAATGAAACCAAACTATATAATATTGATGCCAAACCTTTTGCCCATGGAAATAGCTTTATTTCAGCATATAAGAACTATATTGTACTCTATGAAGGTTTGATGACAACTAAACTTACATTATATAATATGGAAACCAATGTAGCCAGTGTAATTTTTGAAAAAGATTACAGTTATAGTAATGATTTGGTTACAGGTCTCAACTCACGTTATGTTTATCTTTATAACTCTACAGATAATGGTGATGGTATTTTATTTGATTTAATGACAAACAAAACTGAAGCCTTTACATACACTAAAAGAAACCGTAATTTAGAGGGCTACTCGACCAAAATTAATAAAAACATTTTAACAGCAATCAATCCACAATTAAGCTATGTTAAAATTCCATATGATTCCTCTTATTATGATCCAAACTACAATCCAGATATTTCATATTCAAATTCAATCTTTAATAATATCAATATAATTTTAATTGCTATATTATTCTCATCTTTTATTTTAATAATTTAAAAAAATAAAAATAAATAAATTCAATTTAAACTCATTATTATTTTTTTATTATTTTTAAATTTAAAACAATTTAAAAAAAAAAAGGTCATTTTTTATAAATATCGTCCAACACTCTATGATGTTTAAAAATTCAACTTATGGGTTACCAAAATAAAAAATAAAAAAAAAAAATTAAATTTTTTATTTTCACAAATTTTATTTTTTTTAATTTTTTTTCTATTTTTTAAATATTATATTTTTTACATATGCAGCAAAAATAAATATGAAAATGAAAGTGAAGATGAAACATAAAAAAAAAAACAATAAAAATATAATTATGTAACAATTTTATGAATAGAAGATAAGTTTTACATATATAGTAATAGGGTAATTGATGAGTAAAAATATTTTCCTCTGTGATTAATAAATCTTTAATGGGGGGAAAGAATGTAAATCGATCTTTGTAAATTAAAATTCTCGCGAGTACATAAATGATTCATAAAACATACTTAATAATTAATAATTAATAATTGATAATAATGATATTAACTTAACCTTGTAATTAATAATAATAAAAATGAATTGTTTTTTTTGCAATAAGGAAAATATAAAAAATATTTTTAATTTTCTTTATTTGTTATAGAAGTTATAAAAATGCATCAAAAAAATAATTTAGTAGAAGATAAGTGCAATGTTGCAGTTATTGGTATAGGTTTCAGAGCACCAAGTGGTAGTTTAACTAAATCAATTTCAAACTCAAATCAACTTTGGGATAGCTTGGTAAATGGTTTCGATGGTATTGTAGAAACATCTGAAAGGTGGTCTGACAACTATAGTATCGCGGGTGATATCGCTTGTAAATATGCTGGTCTTATTCCACTTGATGAATGGAAGTCTTTTGATCCAATTTTCTTTGGAATCAATCCAAGTGATGAACATGTCAATACAATCGATCCACAACAAAGATTACTGTTAAAGTGTACATGGGAAGCATTGGAAGATAGTGGTATTGATCCATTGACATTACGAGGCTCAAATACGAGTACGTTCATTGGTTCATCTACTGTGGACTATGATAATTCCAATAAATCTCCTTTTGAAACTCAAAATAATATTTTTGGAGCAACATCACATTCACAAGCAAATAGAGTATCATACTGCTTTGATTTTCGTGGTGAATCACTCACCATCGATACCGCATGTAGTTCATCATTAAATGCAATTAATCTTGGTTACAAATCTATCAAATACGGTCAATCTGATGTATCTATTGTAGGTGGTGTTAATCTAATACTTGGTATGTATAGAAGTTTAAATAAAAAGTTTTTATAAAGAACTGTAAAATTAAACTAATATTTATTTAATTTTTTTTTAATATTAGACCCAAATTTATCAAAATCATTTTCTCATTTATCAATGTTAAGTCCAACTGGTAAGTGTCACACATTCTCATCGGATGCAGATGGCTTTGTACGTTCTGAATGTGTCGGAGTTGTTGTATTGAAGAGTTTAGATCAAGCAATAAAAGATGGTAATAACATTTATTGTGTTATCAATGGGGCAAGTTCAAATGTAGATGGTAACTATGATAAATCAAACTTTTATTCACCATCGAAATCATCGCAATATGAAAATATTAAATCTGCAATCGAATCTACCAATGGTCAAATCAATGCATCGGATATTGACTATTTTGAATGTCACGGTACTGGTACATTAACTGGAGATCCAATAGAACTAGAAGGTATTTCAAGAGTCTTTAAAGATACAAACAAACAAGTTTTAATTGGTTCTATTAAATCAAATATCGGTCATTGTGAAGCATCATCAGGTATAATATCTTTAATCAAATGTTGTTTAATGTATAAAAAACAATCATTTGTTCAAAATATCAACTTTAAATCACCAAACCCAGCTATCAAATTCGATAAGTGGCGTCTAAAAGTTGTTACTGAACCAACACCATTTTACAATAATAACAAAAAAACAGTTATGGCAATTAATAACTTTGGTATAACTGGTAAATATTTTATTATTTTTAAAATATTAAAAAAAAAAAAAGTATACTAAAATTTTTTTATTTAAAAATAATTACAGGATCAAATTGTTGTATTATTTTATCGGAATATAATCAAGATACTGTTCAAAATGAAATTAATATTAACAAAAAGTATTTAATACCATTCTCATCAAACTCACAAACATCACTTGATAAATACATACAAATTATTATGGATCAATCAGACACTTTAAATTTTAATGAATTTGTAAATGATCAAACCCAATATAAATCAACATCACTCGTTTCGAGATCAGTTCTTATTGCAAGTAATTGGGAAGAATTTAAAGATTCAAAAAATGAAATCAAAACATCCAATACAAACACAATTTCAAACATTTCAATTAATAATATCACTCCATTTACTGTATTTGTATTTTGTGGTCAAGGATCACAATTTAATCAAATGGCATTTGGACTATATGAAAATGAGGCAATTTTCAAACAATGGGTTGATAAATTCGACAGTGAATTATACAAATATTATGGGTACTCTGTTTTAAAAAAACTAAGATCAATCAATGATAAAGATTTGAAATCAATACACGCTCATACAATTGCCCAACCATCAAATATTATGATTCAAGTATCATTATATGAACTATATAAACACTGGGGTATCAAAGCAGATATAATCGTTGGTCATTCTCTTGGTGAAATTTCAGCATCATATTGCTCTGGTATGATTGACTTTGAAACATTATGTTATTTAGTATACCATAGATCCATTGCTCAAAATAAAACAACTGGTACTGGTAGAATGTTATCTGTAAATATAAGTGCTGAAGAATATCTTTCAAACTATTCATCAAAATACCCAACAGTGAAAATTGCATGCTACAACTCACAATCTTCAATTGTAGTATCTGGTCAAGAACATTTAATTAATCAAATTGTAGATGATTTAAAATCAAAAAATATATTTTTTGTAATGCTAGGAACATTATCCTCACTCCATTCATCTAGCCAATTAGTTATTAAAGATGAAATATGTTCAATGAACATTTTATCAAAACAATCAACAACACCAACATTTTCAACAGTCACAACCAACCTATTTAACCACGAAACAACACCATTCAATTCAGAATATGTATTCGAAAATGTTTTACAACCAGTAAGATTCACTCAAACCATTTCAAACATATATAAATATATTGAGGAAAATGAACTTGGAAATGAAGTCACATTTATTGAAATTGCACCACATTCAACATTATTATTCCATTTAAATCAAATGAAATCAACACAATCACCATATTTTAAAAATGGAGAAAAAATTACTATTCATTCACCACTTCACAAAAAGAAAAATGATTACAATGAATTCTTAAACACAATTTCATCACTTTATGTAAACAACTCATATAATATAAATTTCAAATCACAGTTAAATCAACAAAACAACAACAATTATATTCATAAAGCATTAAACAAACTGCCATTATATCAATGGGATGATAAAATTTATTACAAACAAAATTCAACATATGAAAAGATTAAAAAAGAAGGACCTGCAATTCAACATCTTGGTTTTACAAATGATTTATCAATTAAACTTTATCAAACCTATATAGACACTAAAAAACAACCATTCCAATGGCTAAAAGGACATCAAGTTAAAGGTAAATACTACTTCCCAGGGTGTGGATACATCATTAATTTATTCAACATTTATCCAAATCAAGATATTACAATCAGCTCAATTGAATTTAAAACACCATTAGTTTTACAAGATGATACTAATCAATGTCTACAAACAATAGTAAATACACTTTCAAAAAATGAATACAATGTCAAATCACACTTCAAAGATACAACATCAAATCAATGGGTATTATGTTCAACTGGTAATTTTAGTTTATTCAAACATGGTAACGAAATAGACCGAATTAATATCGATGAAATAAGAAATAGTTGTAACTTTACCAAACTATCAAAATCAGAGCTTTATGAATCAATTAAAATCAAAACCGGATTAACATACAAAGGTTTATTCCAAGGTGTCAAAGATTGCTATGTAGGTGATAACTGTTCATTAACGATTGTATCATTAAATGAAATTCAAAATCAAAATGAATTTAATCATTTACTTAACAACGATACAATGAAATCATTCTTTAATGCTGCAATTCTTGATACATGTTTACACGGAATGATAAGTTTTATCAACCATCAGTGCCAAATTGTATTAGATAAAATTGAAGGATTAAAATATTACTCATCAAACATACCATCACCAACTGATCAACAACATTCTGAAATATATGTATATTCTGAAATGAAAACAAGGGTCAATTTATACTCATACTCGGGATCCATTAAAATAATGTTAAATGATGGTACATTATTAATTGAAATCACAAGTGTAATGTGTACATCACTTACACCAATCATTGATAATACCTTAATTTCACCACCACCATCCAATGAAATCTATCTACCAATTCAACAATCAAAAGACTCTACCATTAATAAACCACAATCATTCAAAAACATGTGCCAATTAGAAGAATTGGGGTTAGATGAAATTTATCAACAAATAGTATCAAATGAACATTTATTATCATTATTTTATTATCAAATTAATCAAAGACGTCCAACTATCAACAGAGAATCATTATCAACAATAGACTACAATCAATTCAAACAACTCTACCACAAATCTAACATAAATGAAAATTTATTTATCTTTATTTTCGATCTTTTAAAAAAATATAATAACCTAGGTATCAATAAACAATTAAATCAATTCCCTAATGGCAATAGTGATAAAAGTATTATAATGAAACTTTTAGAAAAAACAACCACAGTGATGGCAAAACTAATATTCCCATTAGAGGATGACGATCCAAACATTGACACCCCTCAAACATTATATGAACATGGATTATTAGATCAATTTTATCAAAGGTCAAATTTTGTAAGACCAGCAAATAATTTACTAAGTGAAATTGTTTCAGAATCAATCAAACCAATTATTAATGAACCAATTGTTTTCAGGATCATAGAATTTGGAGGTGGTGTGGGATCGTTATCAATTTTAATTTTAGATAAAATTAACAAACTTCTAAATGATCACCCTACATCAAATATTGATATAGAATTCACATGGAGCGATATTTCAGCATCATTTTTTTCAGACATTAAAGAAAAACTTTCAAACATTAAAGGTGTCAATATAATCTATCGTACTGTAGATTTAGACAAACCATTAAAAGAACAAGAATTAAAAGCATCTTATTACGATATGGTTGTAATGTCAAATGTATTACATGTGGTAAAACAACTTAAAATCATTTTAAATGAAATTCACAATATTTTAACACCAAATGGTCAAATTATTTTTGTTGAACCCCCATACAAATCATTATATCTAGACTCCATATTCGGTGTATTCTCACAATGGTGGCCATCATCAGAAGATATTGCCATCAGAAAAGATAGAAGCTGTATGAAACCAGAAAGCTGGTTCAAATTACTTAATGATTGCAACTATAAAGATACCACAATATCTGGAAATCCAAATGCAATAATTTTAATTCAAACAAGAAAACAAAACATAAATGAAATGGTATTATCAAATGTAGAAACAATGAAACAATTTACATTACATGATAATATAATATTATTTGGAAATAGTAGATATTGCACACAAATCAACGAATCGTTCAAATCAAATCAATTATTAAGTTCAAAAATGATTCAAATTGACAACTTTAATGAACTTAACAATTGGGCTGTAAAATCAATCGACTCCATTAGACAAAGTAAAACATTAATAATCTTTATGAAAGCAATTGATCCATTAGATATCAGTAATTATAAAGAAATAACACTTGAATACATTCAAATAAATCAAATGTTACTTCAATTTGAAATTGAAAGCTTTTTTAAACATGTTTTAATACTATTAAACTCAACATCAAACAACTACTTATCATCATCAATCAATGGAGCAGCGAAATATTTTGCAGAATTCCCACAATTAGATCTATATTCATTAGATTTCGATAATACATCAATACAAAATCAAAATATATTATCACTTACCGATATTCTAATAAATTCAACATCAAATATTCAAAGAGAATTTTCAATTAAAAACAACACAGTATATTATGAAAGATACAAAAAACAAACTAAAATTAAACAATCATTTATATCTAACTCATTTGAAAATAATAAAGATAATTTAATGATTCAGTTTGATCCTAATTTGGAATATAAATTAAAAACTAAAAAACAAGAATTAAAACCAAATGAAATTGAAGTTCAAATAAAAGGTACCGGTATCAACTATAAAGATTATTTAATGTATATTGGTCAAATAAAAAACTATTTTGATCTCAAATATGGCAAAAAAGAAGAAGTTGAAAATGGATTATATCAAATGCCAAATATTGGAAATGACTTTAGTGGTATTATTACTAGATGTGGTAGTGATGTAAAGAAATTTAAAATTGGTGATGAAGTGCTTGGGGCTGCTCGAAAAACCAATGGATCACATATTATAATGGACTATAACTATGTTCATTACAAGCCATCAAATATCTCATTTATACAAGCTGCATCCATTCCTACTATTTATGTTACCACATTACACAGTATATACAATATCGGAAATTTAAAAACAGATCAAACTATTTTAATTCACTCAGCAGCAGGTGGTGTTGGTCTATCAGCACTAGAGCTATTAAAGTGTAAACAACACAAAGGTTATATATTTTTAACAGTGGGCTCAAAAGATAAAGAAGAATACTTGATCAATAAATATGGCTCATTTATTACTGGTATCTATTCATCAAGAAATAAAAACTATGTTCATCAAATTAAAAACAAATTAAAACAATTACAATGTGACCTAGATCATCAAGGTGTAGATTTAATATTAAATACACTTTCATCTGAATATATGGATTCAAATTTCCAATGTTTAAATACTTGTGGTAGAATTGTCGACCTTTCAATTACACATTTAACTCCAAATGATTATATGACAAATAATCACTTTAAATACAACTATGGATATAATAATGTAGAGCTTGTTGAATTTTCAGGACCATTATATAAAAGTATATTAAAAAAAGTAGTTAAACTGTTTAACTCAAATAAATTAGAACTAATTCCAATCATTGAATTTTCAAATGGTCAGTTTAAAGATGCAATCGAATATATAAATCTAGGACAACATATTGGTAAAATCGTTGTTAATCATGATATAGATATGTTATCAAAAGTATTTAATGAACAAAAACAAAGTAACTCCATTATTATGAAAAGCAGCTATGATACATCAAGATTAGATATCGGTAAAAATATATTAGTTACAGGTCAAACAGGTATTATATTAGAAATTATGAAATGGCTAGTTAAATATTCAAACAAATCAATCGATAATATTATAATTTTATCAAAATCACCATTAAAATGGGAATTAGAACTTTTAATCAATCAAACTAAACATCAAAAAGATAACACAATTAATTTCCACTTTAATCAAATCGATATTGAAGATAGTAAAAAAGTTCACAATGTATTAAACAATCTAGAATCAAACTCAAACATTACAAATATCGATACTGTGATACACTTTGCATTTGTAAATGAGATTGGTGATATCCAAGATGTCGATTTGAATGGTTTAAATATTGCACATGGCGCAAAAACAATTGGTGCAATCAATTTACACAATGAATCAATTAAACGTTCATGGAAACTAAAACAATTTATTATGGCATCATCTGCTGCTTCAATTACTGGTTCACATAGACAATGCTGTTATGTCAGTGCCTGTAATACAATTGATTCGTTATCAAAATATAGAAAATCAATTGGACTACCATCACTATCAATAAATTTAGGTGCAATATCATCAACTGGATTTGTTTCAAGAAATGATGCAATCGAAACAATGTTTGAAAGTTTTTTTTTAAAACTAATTTCACCACAACTAATTTTAAGTTCACTAGACCTCTTCATTCAAGATAAAAACAATCATTCAAACTACTGTTTATCTGATTTTAATTATGAAAACATAGTATCTCTAAAATCAAACTCCAATCTTATTAAATTTGACTATCAAACAAATATTATTAAAATAATCAACAAATCAAATAATTCTAACAAAAATGAAAATATTAAATTTCAATTTTTAAATAAAATATCAGAACTACTTTCAATTGAAGAATCAAAAATCAACATGGAATTCCAATTAAGTCAGTATGGTCTCGATAGTTTAGTTATTGTTTTATTAAAGAATTGGGCGGATTGTCAGTTTGGTATAAATATAATTTCCATTCAACAATTACAAAACAATATAATATCCAAATCAATAGAGATTATCATCAAAGGTTATGGTAAATAATTTTAAAAATAATATTTAAATAAAATAAAGATGTTATTTTAATAATTATAATACATTTTAATTCAAATTTTGTTTTGTTTAATATATTTATATTTAGTCTAAGAGAAAATTGTAATCTTTAAGTAATAAATAGTTAAAAAGAGAAAAACCAATTAATATGCTTTTAATTAATCTATTGTTTACATTAATTGTATTGAATTAATTGTATTGAATTAATTTACGTCAGAGTTAATTAGAGATGACAGTAGCTCATCCATTGTTAATATAAAAATAAAAAAATAATAGTTTCATAAAAGCAAGAAAATATCAGTATTTTATTTTAAATTTTTTAATTTTTACACCAAATTTATTTTACTTTATTAAAATTTTTTTTTTTTTTTTTTTTTTTAATTTTTTATTTTTTAAAATTTTTTTCTGTATCATATGACACATTTAAATTTTATTCCTGTATATTCAATATTTAAAATACTATCAACTTCTTTAGGACCAAAAGGATTAGATAAAGTTATTGTTAATATTGAAGAAAGCACCCTATTTACACAAAATGAAAACTATAACCAAAATTTCGATATAAACGATTTAATTATAACAAATGACGGTGCTACAATTATGAAAAATTTGCCAATAAAGCATCCACTTGGTATAATATTAAAACAACTATCAAACTCGATTGATGTATGTATATAAAACTATAGATAATCATTAGTTTCTTTTCTTTTTTAATTTATTAATAATTTTTTTATATTATTTAGGTTCAAGTCGGTGATGGTACAACCTCTGGAGTGATTTTAGCATGTAAATTATTAGAAGAGTCTGAAAAGCTATTGATTAAAAACTATCATCCAAATCTAATTATTAAATCATATCAAATAGCCTATGATCAATGTAAAAAGATTTTAAATTTAAATTGCATAGAATTAAATATACCATCTATTTTTATTTATAACGAAAAAGAATTTAATAATGCTGAAAACAATGATATTAAAATACTAAAGCAAATCATATCAACATCACTATCATCCAAAATTTTAAGCAACTATATTGAACAATTTACAAAATTTTGTTTTCAAGCAGTTTCATATATACAGGATCCATCAAGCACATTAATATTTAATAACATTCAAAACAATATAAAATATAATAAAATATTAGGTAATAATATAGCATCAACTAAATTAATTAGAGGAATCATAATAAAACTAAGACTAGATAATATCAACATAATGGAATTAAACAATAGTTCTTTTAATAGCAACAACTCTGTAAATAATAATTTTAAAACCATGTTAATTAATTTCGATATTGGTTTTATTGATGAAAATACTTTAAAACTTATAAAATATAACAATTTAAATTTCAATGTAGGTATTAAAATTATTTTTATTTATTTAATTTTTCCCTTCAAATACTAATTTATTTTTTAATTTATAGAAAATTGAAATGATAGAAAATGAAAAAAAACAATTAGAAATTAAACAAGCAACAGATTTTATATCAAATTTAAAAAACCAAAATAAAGAAGACGAGCCAATTATAATATTTTCAAGTAAAAGAATATCATTGTCATGTTTAAAACTATTTAAAGATAATAACATTAAAATCATATATAATCTTAGTGATGAAGAAATTTTAAACATACAAAAAGTAACCTTTTCACCCATAGTTATTAACACCATAACCTCGACCATACACAGCTCATATTTTGGTACTTGTAAAATAAACCAGACAATAGAAAAACAATCCGAATTTTATTTAGAAATCTTGAATGACCAATCAAATGTATGTACATTTTTATTAAAAGCTCCATCTGTTTTCATTATAGAAGAAATTCAAAGGGTAAGATATTAAACTAAACAAATATATATTTATAACACTTTTTATTAATAATAACCATTACTTTTAAAACTATATTTAGTCATTAAACGATTCAATATCAATACTTTCATTAATAATCGAAAATAAAAAAATTATTAGCGGTGGTGGATCAAATGAACTACAACTATCAAGTGGTTTAGAGAAGTTTATAAAATCAAATGAATTTAATCAACTTGTAGTCGATGAAAGTAAACAGGATATTTTTAAAATTATGAACTGTATAAAATCATTTGCTAGAGCTTTACAAATCATACCAATTTTATTAATAAACAATGCTGGCTTTGACTCGTTGGTCCTGTTTGAACATTTAAAAATTATACACAAAGAACAAATATCAAAAGATTACAACTATACATCAATAAATTTGAATAGTGGTAAAATCTCAAATATGTTAGAACTTGGCGTCATCGAATCTTTAAAAGGTAAAGAAACAATTTTAAAAATGATCATTGATACTGTATCAATGATTATTAAAATTGATCAAATGATAAAATAAACTAATAAAAACCATTTATAATATAAATATTTTAAATAAACTAATAAATTAAATTAATATTTATTACAATTTTATTATTGCTACTATTGTTTTTGTTTTTGCTATTGCTGTTATTATTGCAATTATTTTTATTTTATATATTCTATTGAATCGAGTAAGTTACCATCTGGATCATAAGCCTCTAATTTAATTTTCTTTTCATTTATTGTTGTAAACCAAAGATGACTAAATAAATTAATAAATAAATAAATTAGTTTTTTTTTATATAAAAATTTAAATATATGCTATAAATAAATATTTCTTACTTGCAAAAAGATCTTTTATGTAAATACCATGGTAAATATTCTGTAGCAGGTTTTTCATTAATGTATGAAATACCCCATGAACCGTCACCAACATATGTTGTGCCTGTAATATTTCCTGTGCTGTTGACTAATTGATTATTATAAAGTGGCTTTGTACGTTTAAATAAATGCTCATGATTTTCATATGCAAATGGAACTTGGTAACGGTCAAATATTGGCACTATAGTTTGTTGAGCCAATTTTGGAATTGTAGCACCTAGGTGACCCCACGATTCATAAATAGGATGATGATATACAACAAGCTTGTTTGTATTGGCATATTTATCGCTTGACCACTGGCTATCTAACCATTGTGTTTGTTGATCCCAAGGTGTAACAACGCAACTGTCCAGTGATGTCATACTAGTATTGAATGGTAATTTGTGAATGTGGTATGACAATCTATCGGTTATGGCCTTCTTTGAATCCCCAATATTAAATAAAAAGTATTTGAAATAAAATGGAATTTGTTTGTGAGTTTGAAAGAATGCACCACCCTCATGGTTACCTATTGACATTAATAAAGGTGTTAATCTTGTAACCTTTTCATTTTTCTCGCCATCACTTGAATCACCCTCTTCTTTATATGAAAAATATTTTGTAAAAAATTTAATTTTTTCATCCCATCTTCTATAACAAGAGCCTATACCATCTTCATATGCTATATCACCACCAACAATTAAGAGATCCGGTTTGAATTTATGTCCTTGCTTTGCCAAATCTTTTGCATCACCATTTATAGATACGTCACCACCAACTACAAATCTAAAGTCCTTTGGACTGCCAGTGCCACTAGAATTACTATGATTTGAAAAAGTTCTAAAACTATAGTTTTCTGATTCAATTGGGCCATCTTTCGTTTCCACAGTAAAGTTAAATTTATAATTTGTGTATTCAAAGAGATAATTAAACTCTACATAACTAATATAACGGGGTTCATCTTTTATGACATCGGACATTGATATAAAATAACTGGACTCCCATTCGATTGGTATTTTTGATGATCCAGAATCCATGTTATATAAGGCCACTCTTGTTTTACTTGGTTTATTTCTGGTGTGAATTTGTAAAATCATTGAACTTGAAGGATCCTCTGTTAAAGTTAAGTAGGCAAAACAAACATCCATATCTTTGCAATATGACTCTTGAAATCTTCTCGAGAACCTAGTAGAAACTGCCATTGGATGTGAGCAAATGCAAACACCTTCAAACGCTAAAGGTATAAATATTGCCAAAAACAATGCTAAACCGATTAAAGACAATGATAGCTTTGGTGTGTATTGAATTGTTGATGTTGTATCCTTTATAAAATAGATGACTCTAGTTTTAAATTTATCTTTAATTGATAATTTTGGATCAATTTGGTTCTTATAAAAAAAATAACCATTTTCATTTTTTGGACTATTTAAAATCTGATCACTGGCTGTATATTCTAAATCTATATTTTTATCTTCTTCATTTTCGTTATTATCTATACCATTACTGTTGCCGTTATTATTCTCTATATTTAATGATTCTAATAAGATTTCTTTTTTTGATCTATTATTATCAACATTTGTACCAACACCACTATTTGGACCACCCATTTCAATTCCTATAGGGCTGCTAAATCCATTTGGGCTTGTAACAAAATAATTTTTATTTTTATTATTTCTTACCTTGAATATTCTCTTCTTTCTTTCGACTTCAAACTGTGTAATTAATTGATATATGGTGAAAAAAACCAATAACATTATTGATAATATTATTGTAAAACCAACTGGTAAATAATTCCAACTTGAAAACGCCGATAATGTGAATACAAGACCAACCATTGATAATATTAACAATACCAATTGAATTTTAAATGATAAAGTACCTCCATTTGAATCAATACCCAGCCTTGCTTTTTTATTTGTATTATAACCTCTAATATAATCTTTATCTTCAAAAAACAAAAACCTTATAAATAACAATAATATTGCTCCCATGAATGGTACTATTGAAAATATTAAAAAATAACTAACTTTATATGGTATTTCCATTATTATTTTCTATATTTATGATGCTGCTGATGATGGAGTTGATGATGCTGCTGATGTTGATTTTCCTTATTGTGTAATATTTTATAATTTATATTATTGTGTGTAGTTTATTTTATTATCATTAATTAATTATTTGTGATATTAATGGTGATACCGAATTTGTTTATGCGCTATATATGGAAAATAATACAATATGTTATAACATTTATAATAGCAATATAAATATTTATTTGTGTATCTATTAATATGTACAAAAATATGAGAATTGTGTTAAATTAAAAAATAATTAAAAAAAAAAAATAAAAAAAATGAAAAAAAAATAATTTGAAAAAATAAAAAAAAATTAAAAAAATATAAGTGATAAATATAAAAAAAAATCCTATTTCTTTTAATTTATATATTCATTTCCATAAATTAAATTAAAAAAGGTTATATGATTAAATTGGATAAACAATTAAAATATGAAATCATAGAAATTTAACACCCAAATTAATCATCCCATAAAAAAAGTCATTCCATTAAATTTGAAATATATCGCCACAAATTTTTTTTATTTAATTAAATAAAATACTCATCAAATAATGAACATATTTATGAATATATTTACATCTTTTTTTTTGTTAATTACTTTTTGAATTTATTTAATAAAACAACTTTTTTTCATATTAAAAAAAAATAATAAAAATTATAAAGTGGGGGTAAATTGAAGTGTGTTTGTGTGTTTATTTTTTGGATGTTTATATATATATAAGTTTAGTGTGTGTTTTGGAAATTTCTTTGTTTAATAAATTAAGTTGAATTATTTTTTTATTATGGTAGTGTTGTTGTTGTTGTTGGTTAAAAATATATATATTATTATTATTTTATTTTTTTTATTTTTATTTTTTTTTCAATTAATTAATTTATCTCTTTTTTTTTTTTTTTCATTTCATTTTATTTTTTATTTTTCAAAACTTAATAAATTTTTCATTAAATAAAAAATTTAAATATATATTTAAATAGTTTATATAATTTGTATAATTACAATTTCTAAAATAAATAAAAACAGATAATCATTATTTTTTTTTATAGTTGGTTTTAAAAAAAAAATTTAAAAAAATTTAAAAAATAAAATTAAAAAAAAAAAAACTTTTTTTTAAATTTTTTAAGTTAATTTTTCTTTTTTTTTTTTTCTGTTATTTAAATTTTTATGTGTGTATTTGTAAAATAGAATATTTTAGATTTGGCTTTACTTTCGCATATATATAATTAAATTAACTCAATAGACACTAACACACCCAAACAATAAAAATTTAAAAATAAAAAAAATAAAAAACCAACACCTCAATAATAATCACACTGTTAAAAAAAATTCAAGAAATCATAGAAAATAAAAAAAAAAAAAATTATACAATTGTTATTGAAAATAACATTAGTAATTTGTGGGGTAGAGGGGGTGTTAAATAAAACAAAAAAAAACAACTGTAAAACACCTCTCAACAGAAAAAAAGAAAATAGTAAATTTTATTAAACAAAAAAAAAAAAAAAAAATTTATAAACAAATAATAATATATAAATAAATTAAATAAATAAATAAACTGTAAAATAAATAATAATATATAAATTGTATAAATGGAAAATATAGCAATTACAAAAGTTGATGAAGATATTACACCAAGCAGTTCAGTAAATAGTAATTATAATCAACCAGTTTCATTAACACCATACATATCATCACCTGCATCATCGTCACCATCAATTCCACCACAAAAGAAAAAAACAATTGAAGATTTTATAATTGGCAAAGTTTTAGGAGAAGGTTCGTATGGCGCAGTAGTATTGGGTACTGAAAGGGAAACCTGTGTACAATATGCAATTAAAATTTTAGAAAAAAAACATATTATCAAAGAGAATAAAATTAAATATGTTCAAATCGAAAAAGAAATATTTTGTAAATCAAACCACCCAAATATTGTAAAATTATTTTTTACATTTAGATCGGAAACCTGTTTATGTATGTAAATTTTTTTATTAATAGATTAAATTAGCATTGATATTAATGATTTTTTTAATAGACTATGTATTAGAGTTATGTCCTCAAGGTGATTTATTACATCAAATTAAAAAAGTAGGATCATTTGATTACAAATCAACACAATATTATATAGCAGAAATTATTAGCGCATTAGAACATTTGCATGGTCTTGGTATTGTCCATAGAGATTTAAAACCAGAAAATATTTTATTATCAGGCGATATGCATATTAAAATTACAGATTTTGGTACTGGTAAAATATTACCAAATAGTAATGGCCACGTACCCGTTTTACCACAAAACTCATCTGGTAATCTTGCAATGAGTCTTAATGGTTCATTAGATTTAAGCCAACAGCAACAAAGAACCAATAGTGTAGATAGTACAAGTACAACAGATTCAGCTTTGTCACCAACCATAAACTCACAACCACCATCACAACCACAACCATCGGCATCAGCATCACAACCATCACACCCAACACAACCAACTAGAGCCAATTCATTTGTTGGTACTGCAGAATATGTTTCACCGGAATTAATAAGCAATAAGGAAACATCAACTGATTCAGATTTATGGGCATTGGGTTGTATTATATATCAACTAGCTACTGGTAAACTACCTTTCCGTGGTAAAACAGAGTTTTTAACATTCCAAAAAGTATCCAATAGAGATTTGGTTTACCCATTAAATATGAACCCAACTATTAAAGATTTAGTTGAAAAACTATTAGTGGTCAAACCATCAGACCGTTTGGGTTCTAAAACTGCACCTGGAGGATTCGATAATTTAAAAAATCATCCATTTTTTGAAGGCATAGACTGGAATAATCTTTCGAATACCCAGCCACCATTAATCAAAGCACCAACCGAAAAAATAATATTTGAAGATGATTTACAACAACAACTATCATCATCAACAATCTCACCAACACTCGAATGTATAACACCAAGAAACTTTATTAGCAACGACTTATCATCACCATTATCATCCTCACAATCACAAATTCAAACATTAACAACTATCAATACTGTAAATAGCGGAAATAGTAGTAATAGTTTAGTTGATCAACAAAAAAAATGGTCAAATTTAATAAACAAAGATGAAACTATTGTATGTCAAGGTTTAGTTTGGAAACGTAAAGGCTTTTCAATTAAAAAGAGACAATTGATTTTAACAGATACTCCAAGACTTATTTATATTGACCCAAAAAAAATGGAAGTTAAAGGCGAAATCCCTTGGTCAAATCAAATTAAACCCAAATTAAAATCAAATAATAATTTTGTTATTCAAACACCAAAAAGAAAATATCTTTTAGAAGACGTTGATCATAATCCACAAAAATGGGTTGATGCAATTAAAAATGTATTACTACAAAATAAATAAATAAATAAATAAACAAATCATAAAAAAATAAATCATGGAAAAAAAAACATCATAACACAAAAAAAAAAAAATATATTAAAACACATATAAAAAAAAAAAAAAACTAATTTATTGTTTATTTTTTTTTTTTATTTATTTAATAATTTTTTTTTAGATAAATAAATTAATATAATTTTTTTTATTCAATTAACATTCATATTAAATTTTTTTTTTTTTTTTTGGCACGAGTATCGTTTAAATTTTGCTTGCTATCAGAAACATGCGCCTCCATATTAAAAAAAATTATGTGACAAAAATTCGGTTTTGAAAAAAAAAAAATTTTTAAAAAAATTAAAAAAATTAAAATTTTTTTTTTTTTTTCTGCTACAGTATATTTGATTTTTAGAAGAAAAGGTACTATCTCCATCTATATATATCTCTATCAAAATTATCTATATCTTTCTCTATCTTTCATCCAACATCATTAATCTTTAACCCTTACCATTAATCCATGGATTAATAAGACGATAACTAATATGAATTGAATATATATAATAGAAATGGCCAAGTCAAAGAATCACTCAACCCATCACAAAAACAGAAAAGACCACAGAAATGGTATCAAAAAGCCAGTCGTCCACAAGAAAACTGGTTTCAAAGGTGTAAGTTTGGATTAGATAAAGAGGAAAAAAAAAAAAAAACACACACAACAAAAACAGATATTAATATATAATATGTATACTATAGGTTGAATTAAGTTTCGCCAGAAATCAAAGATATGCCCGTATCGGTACTGAAGTTAAAAGATACGTTCGTGGTGATTTACAAGAACAAAAACCACACAGAAACCCAAGACAACCATTAAAGGCCATCGTCGCTGCTGCTAAATCCAAATTAGCTGCCAAAAAAGCCACCGCCAAAAAATAAATAAATAATAATATTAATTTATAGGTTTTAAAAAAATCACATTAGCATTTTTAGCATCACATTATTTTTGTTTAGAATAGAAACAAAAGAGGAACAGGTTTTTTATATTCAAGTTCAAATTACTGTTTTCTCTAGTTTTATTTACTTTGTTGTTTTATTGTTATTGTGTGTGTGTCGTTATGTTTTCGTTTTATGCATTTATTTTATTTGATTCAAAAAATAAAATTGTGTATATAAATAAAACTGTAAATATAAACAAAATTTAGTTTTATATATATATTTTTATAAATAAATATTTCATATATTTTTTATTCATTTATTTGTTTATTTTTTATTTATTTATTTAACATTCTCTTTTGGAAGGATTTTTACTTGTTAATCTTTTGGCAGAGATAGTTGAAAGATATGATAGAATTGTACCAGAGAAACCTATGAATACTAAAATATTAGCAGTTGTAAAAATTGAATAGTTTTCAATGATTAAATTTGACATTGCATAGACCCAAAGAATGATAACGCCAACAAATTCTTTAGCACTGATACGTTGATTAATGTTTTCAGGAGCCATGAGATTATTGATGAATTTTGTTGATTTATGGTAAACTAAATTTCTAGTAGAGACTTGACTTTCTTGAATTGGTTCAGAGAGTATGGCATCTAATTCAGATTCAGTAAGTTTGGTATAGTCGATATTATCTATTTTAATTTCTTCTTCAATTAATTGGCCATTTTCTTCAATTAAAACTTTTTCTACTGTTTCAACTGATTCTTCTACTTGATAAATTGGTTCTTCATCTTGTGCAGTAGTGGTACTACCAGTGTTATTGTAATGATTATCGGTATCAAATTCAATGCTGTCATCTAAATTTTTTGATTTTTGATTTGAGTTAGATTTGCTTGTTGTTGATGATTTAATGATATTATTGTTATTTTTAATTATAATGGTTGAATCTAATTTTGAAGCTAAATTCCAAAAATACTCTAAAAGCTTAATTGTACCAAAACCAATAATATTTGAACCAAAGATATAGGAAAGTACTAAAAATACTCTAGTTTGTTGATTGAGGAGATCAGTAATTGAAAATGCTACCATAAGAATTAAAGTAAGAACCCAATCGATAATAATTGTTTTGAGTAACCAAAATTTATCAGCTAAATAAATGTTGAATCCAAGGAATGAAAAAAATAAAATGAGTAAACATTGGACACCGACAATCTCTTTGGTAAAGTTTTCTCCGGCAAATGGAACTACATTATTAAAGAATCCAACAACAAGTTCGCTTGATACTTTTCCACTGAGTAAATTTGAAATAATCTCTTTGAATTGTTCGTAGTATTCAGCTGGAAGATGTTGAATAAATTGTTGGATTGATTCCACTACAAAGAAGCTTAATAAAATATTGGATAATACTTTGAATGTGCCAATGGACCATGCAATTGAAAACAATATAATACCTGCAAACCATTTATAAAATTCGTTTTTCTTTCTTTCAGTTCTTTCGTCTTGAGATTCATTATCCTTTTTACCTATAACTTCGAGATAAATTATAATTGCAAATGTGAATAATACAACTTGAAATAGTTTCAATAAAATTGATTTGGTTGTTGCCATTGTTTTTTGATTTTCTTTTTTCTTTTTTTTTTTTTTTTTTTTTTTTTTGATTTCATTACAAATCAAAAAATTATAAAAAATTTAAATTATTGAAAAAATAAAATAAATTTATTTTGTGTATCATAGAAAGAAATAAAAAAATGTCAAATATTTATATGGATATTATTAAAGCCCAAGTAAGATAGATAATATATATTTTTTTTATATTTTTTTTCTTTTCCATTTATTAATATTTTTTTTTATTATAATAATTAATTGATTTTAGCAAAGACAAGGTATTTTTTTTATTTATATATTTTTAAAAAAAAATAATAAAAAAATAAAAAACTAATTAAATACTATTTATATATAGGTAACTTTGGTGGCAAAAGAGAAACCGATAGTGAAAGAAAAAAGAGAGAAAAGGCTGAAAAAAAGCAAATGGAAAAGGACGATGCCAAAAGAAATAAGGTAAATACAAACGAATATGAGGTCCATATCCAAAGTGGTACAGTTTTTGAAGCTACTGATAGGTAATAAATATTAAAAATAGTTTAGATATCCTTAAAAAATTACAAGTAAATATTAATTTTTATTATTATTATTTATTATATATACAATTTGTTACTATAGTAACGGACTTAGTGACCCATATGTAACTATCAGTATGGTTCGTGAGGATGGCAAAACCACCAAACAAATCTATAGAAGTTCAGTTTGTAAAAAGACTTTATCTCCAAAGTGGGATGAAAAAGGAACCATGAAATTCAAAGAAAATGTATCAACTTTAATCATTCAGCTTTGGGATCAAGATATCATTGGTAGCAATGATTTCATTGGTGGTACATCAGTTGACGTAGCATCTTGTAAATATGGTAATTTCCAATATATCGATGCCGAAGTATTCGAGGAAAAAGAAGGTAAAGTCGTCACCAAAGGTAATGTTAAATTATCAATTGAAAAGAAAAAAGCCAAATCAGTCAATGCATTATACAGCTACAACTCATCAATGTAATTAAATTAATTCATATAGGAGATCTTAAAGAAAAAATTATTTTAATATTCTATATTAAATAAAAATTTTAATTATTTAAAAATAATATATATTTTTTTTTACTTTTTTTATTAAATTAATATATTCCAATCTTTTGTTTTTCTATATTATATATCATCAATATAATTTTGAAAAAATAGATAAAAAAAATTCAAAAAATAATTTTTATATTTGCTATTTTAATTATTAACACAACTTATAGCCCTATTATTAAAAAATAAAGTTTATTTTAATTTGGTTAGGTGTTAGATATCTCGGATTCTAACATATTATTAATAATATAATTATTAATAATGTTGTATAAATTTATTAATTTTTATTTTTTTATTTTTAATTTCATAATTAATAATTTAATTTTAAAAAAAATATAAATAAAGGTGTTAATCACACACTTAATATTTGAATAAAGGTTTATAATTTACATTTCATAAAGAGTCTTTCTCATTGATTTTTACTTTTAGGTAAATGCTCAGAAAAAATTTTATGTTAACAATATAAAAAAAAATATAAAAGAAAAATTTTAATTGATTTGATTTGTGCGTTTTTGTGAGGATTTGATAAAAAAAAATATCAAAAAATCGAAATATTTTGATTTTAAAATTTTTTTTTTTAGAAAATTTTAAAAAAAATTATAAAATAATTTTTATAAACATTAATTTATCTTTTATATAAAAAAAATACAAATATATTAATTAAATACAATGTCAGATATTTATGGTGATATTCTTAAAGCTCAGGTAAGTAATAAATTAAAAGGAATTAATTCATTTTACCACATTATTTTTTTTTAAAAAATGTAGTTTTATTAATATTTTTTTTTATTATTATTCACTATTTTTTTATTTTTAGCAAAAGCAAGGTAACTTAGGTGGTAAAGCTGCTCTTGATGAAGCTGAAAAGAGAAATAAGGCCAATGAAAAAAACAAAGCACCAAAAGATAAAGAGGGAGATTGGACCTATAATCTTTACATTGACAATGGTATTGTCCTTGATGGCACTGATGGGTAAATTAATGCATAATATAATATGGTTGTATAATAGTTTAAAAGTTATTAATAATTGTTTTTTTATTTTTTTTATTTTTATTTTTTTTTTTATTTTTTTTTTATTTTTATTGTTTTTTAAAATGCAGAAACGGTTTAAGTGATCCATACGTTGTTTTGGTTGCTTTAGGCCCAAATAATAAAAGTAAACAAGTTTACAGATCTAGTGTACAAAAGAAAACTTTAGAGCCAAGTTGGTCTGAAAAAGGAACCATGAAATTCAAAGATACCTATACACAATTAAGAGTAGAGCTTTGGGATCAAGATATCATTGGTAGAAATGATTTTATTGGTTCAAATATAATTGATGTCAAAAATCATGGTGCTGCACAAAAATTCGATACCGAGGTTTATAAAGAAAAAGATGGTTCAAAAGACTTGACCGGTTCTGTTAAATTCCAATTTGAAAAAGTTGGTGCATCCATTATTGGCACTGGTAAATTTGGTGCCTATTAAATAAAACCTTGTGCATAATATTGCTAATATTATAAATAAAAAATAGATGAAAGAAAAAGGCTATTTTAAAGAAAATTTCAATTTATTATAAAAAAAAAAAAAAAAAAAAAAAAAGATATTTTTAAATTTTTGATAAATATTTTTTTAATTTTTTTTTGAATTATTTTTTAAATTTTTTTTAACACATTTTTTTTTTTAAATCACAGTTTTTTTTATTTATTTTGCATTGTAGTTTTATAGTTTATACATACACCTATATATTTTGAATATATTTATCCATTATTATATTTATTTATTTATTATATAAAAAATATAAAAATTTATTTATATTTATTTATTATATAAAAATGGAAATTGATAATCAAGTTAGGATGGAGATTGATGGTTTATCTGAGGATGGAGCAAATGAATATAGCAAGGAGTTTGAAGATTTATTTTGGAAAGTTTTTAATAACAAATTTATCAGAAGATACCTATTCATGACATTACAAACAATGAAAACTCAAGGAGATAGTATCAAATCTTTTTATATTGGTAATCGTCAACAATTTGGCCGAATCAAATCATTATCATGGATGGTTAAAAGGAAAGCATGGGCTCTATTAAAGTTAAAGCTCAAGAATTCTGCTGAATTCCCTACTGAAGAAAACTACTTAGATTTTTATTCAGGTAATTCTTATGAAAAAATAGTCCCAGGTAGTGAAAAAGATGAATACTTACAAATCACAGCAAAAGGGGTATCAGGTTTATTCAAGGAATGTCAAGATATGGAAATTTTTAGATTACTCTATTTAAAAAAAAGAGATCAAATGAATATTGTTGGGGATATTCTCAAATGTGCAGTGGAGAATGAAAACTTTCAGGCTGTAAAGTTATTTTTAGAAGATGAAGAATTTAAAGGCAAACTCTCTACCGCATTGGCTTTAGAATGGTGTATCGAAAATGAAAAGCTTGAAATCGCAGAGTATCTTTATAATACTGATGAATCTGTTTCAGTTTCAACTTCTAAACTATTCTCCTCACCAAGATCAAATGAAATGACCAAATTCGTTTTAGATAGACCAGGCTTATATGCTGAAGCCCCCAAGAATTCACTCATTAGCTATAAGGTATTTTTAGAGACCAAAGACCCCCAATTACAAATGGTTATGGTAGATAAAGAATTGGTTGACACATCATCATTAGCTCTTTTGGATTTCCAAAATAGAATTACACTCAGCAAAAAAGAATTTGTATATAACGAAGCAATTGTCAAGTATATCAAAAGGTTCTTTAGAATAGAGGAAGTTTTTTCTTCAAAATACATCTTTTTCGCCCAGCAATTACTCTTTGATGTTTTAAAAGATTTAACTAGTATTAAAGATGTTATCGAAAAAGCCAAATCCATTAGTTCAGAACAAAAAATAATCAAGTTTATTTGTGAAAGTGCTTCGTTAATTGAACAATTCAAATTAAATTCAAACTTTGCCGATCTTTGTTATTTCATGTCTTTAACCGTAGAAACTCGCCAATTAGATTCACTTTTTAGTCACTATTCATTATTCAAAAACTCAAATTTCAAAGTAGATGAAATTAAAGAAATATTCCAACTTTTATATGACAGCTACGATCCTCTCAACTCTTTTATTCAAGCAATTACACCAATTAAAGGTTTGTCTCAAGATGATGCAATTGCTCTAGTGGAAAGTTTACCAGATATATGTTCAAATGCCTATCTTATCTTAAAAAGTTTTTATATTGATGCTGCCAAGAGATGTGATGTCCAAGCCTTAATAATTATTTTCCAATATTCCTACTTTAGAAACTTTAATAAAGTATTTGAAGCTTCAGGTTTTGGCGAAAATATTGAAATGTTTACTGAATGTGACGGTGATATTGACAAAATTTCAAATTTTATCTGTTGTTTATGTTTTTCTAAAGTTTCCTATCCATTTGAACAATTAACAAAACATCTTAGAAAAGTTGTTACAGATAGAATTAAATTTATTCAAGTTTTTTCAAATTTTCCAAAAATCCCAGAGTGCAACAATGTCATAAGAGATTATGCTTATAGTTATCTCCGAAACCCAGGTAACGAAAATACAGAAACCATTTCATCACTATTGAAATACTCGGCCGATTACTTATCACCACTAGATGCATATGATCTATTTTCAACTTATATTGAAGAAGGTGAAATTGAAATGGCCAATGCTTTATTCGATAGCTTTCCAGGTTCACACTTTCAAACATATAAAGTCGAAAATTGCGAACCTCAAATTATCAAATGGTTTATGGAAAAATATCAAAATGGATCAAATTTTGATTTTTCAGAATTATTAGATACTTTAATCGAAGTCAAATCTCCATTTGAAACCATTGAAATGGTTTTCAATTTTTTAGTTTCATATCAAATCTATCAATTACCACCAAAAAAGCTCGAGGGTATCAAAGGTAACTTTTTCTCCTACAAAGCCGTAAAATTATCATTAGAATATGATTCAGAACAAGTTTTCAATCTTTTATTTTCCAACCACCAACTTTTCTTTTGGAACAAGTCACTATTTTCAATTGAAATTGATGACCATACTTTTAGTGAAATCAACAATCGCGTTGTATTATTTAGAAACAGCACAGTTACAAAAAAGAAAAAGAAAACCAAATTTAGTCCCAAAAAAAATTCTAAAGCAATTATTATCTCTGGTAATAATAATAATAATAATAGCGAAACCCCATTAAATGTCCAAGCTTCGGCCATTGTAGAACCAAAAATCAAAACAGATAAATATAAATATGTATTTAATAGCAAATTTTACCAAGAAGAATTAGGATTATTAGTTTCTTTTGGTGAGGTCAGTGATGCAATTCAGTATTTAAAATCACAACTATACCCAACTCCATTCCCCAAAGAAAGAGTTTTTAAAATTATTAAGTACTCTAGCATGGATTTGGTTTTAGAATATTTTTCAATCACAAAATATGAACAATTATCGGATGAAGAAATTGTTGGAAAAATGTTCAAGTATGGCAGAAACGATATCATCGAAGTTTTATTCAAAACCCATTATAACCAATTAGAGAGATCATTCAAGAAATGTGCCCAATATAACAATTTCCACACTGTTGTTTTATTACTAAAACTTGTCCAAAACAAACACAACAGTAACAAATCTGCTTTCATTATTAATTTATCTCATCAGTTAATAAAAGAAGCCATTATATCAGATGATATCATTATCTTCAATTTATTGTACTTCAACTTCACTTTTAAATTATCTTTAGATTGCTTTATACAAGATTATTCTCAATCTAATGCTTTTAATGAAAATTATAAAACAGTTAAAGAGCTAAGTCCATCAGTTTAAATAAATAAATAAATAAATAAATAATTTTAGTAGAATTTTTAAATTTTTTCCCCAAAACATAGTTTGTGTAGTTTCTTTTTATTTAAATAAATATTACCAAATTTTATAATAATATATTATAAATTACTTTATTTAAAAAAAAATTAAAAAAAAAAAATTACATAAAATAAAACTTTTTTTTTTAAAATAGATTATTGAAAATTTTGATTTTACTGTTCCTTGATTTCTTTTAATGATTTTAAAATTGAATTGAATGATGGTCTTAAATTTGGATCTGAACTCCAACACTTTGTTATTAATGAAGCGTACATACGATTACAATTTTGATTGATTGAAGGTCTTAAACCAGAAAGAATATTATCCTCGAGAGTGCTCATAAATTTGAAATCGAATTCTTCAAAAGGCAATTCCATGTGATAAAGTTCCCAAAGGATCATACCATAACTATAGATATCACCCTTTTCGTTATATTCGAAACCTTTTAATACCTCTGGAGCTAACCAAGTTGGATTATCTACTACTTTAGAAACAAAACTTTGTACAACGGTTCTACTTAAGCCAAAATCGGATAGTTTTGCGATAATATTTGAAGGGTCGTTTGGGTCGGTGGCTAGCAAAATGTTTGGTGATTTGAGATCTCTGTGAACCAATGGTGGAGTGATATTGTGTAAGAATGCCATACCAGAGGCAATATCAATTGCGATTTTCAAAACTAAACTCCATGATAGTTGCTGTCCTTCTTCTTTCTTCTTTTTTAAATAAATTGATAGATTACCTAAATTCATATATTCCATAATGATGCTATAAGGTTCAAAACAAAATCCCTTCATTTGTACAATATTTGGATGTGACAAACCGCTCATTAACCAAACTTCTCTTCTAAACTCATAAATTGCACTTAATTTGCTTTGTGAAACTTGATTTAATGAATCCTCATTTGATGAATTACTTGATAAAGAACTTGCTGATAAGTTACGTTGTAAAATCTTGTTTGATGATTGTGCCAAAATGTTACCATTGATAGTGTTGTTATTGTTGTTGCTATTTAAATTATTTACAGGTGGTGGTGGTAATGAAGTTGATGAAAATGATAACGAAGATGGTGAACTATTTGCACTATTATTTATTTGTATTTGATTTGTTGTGGTTGAATCAATTAAATCCATTCTTTCAAAATTTAGTTGTTTAATTGCAATAGTTTCAGATTTGTAAATTCCTTTGAATACTCTTGCAAAACCACCAATTCCAATTTCTTCTAAATGAAGCAAATCTTCTTTTAATATTTTTTTATTTGACGATACAGATGATAATGTAATATCTGGTGCCATTTTACTGAGTAAAACCAATTTTTGGGTAACTGGGCATTTTACATAAGATTCTCCTTTGCCAAATGTTTCCTCAATTAAATCGATAGAGTAAAGGTGGGGAAGATCACGACATTCACTTGAACATGAGCATGGTATAAAAGTATAGGTTTGATTAATTTGATAATCCTTGAGAATTGTATCAACATTTTCTAAAATAATTTGGAATAATTTTGCACATGCTTCAAATTCGTGACCTCTAACACGAATTTGTAATTGTTGAGTGGAGGGATCAAACTCCACCAGTGTTCCGCAACTTGTTAAGCTATCTTTAATGTTCTCTTTATAAGTTGGATGTTTTCTAAATAATATACCACTACTCCAATAGACAATAGGCTCCATCATATATAAGAATCGTACCATTAAACGATCAAAACATGTTTTTGGTGAGTTTTTAAATTGGAAATATCTGCCGATTTGATGTTCTTCTTCGCCGCTCCATGTGTCCCATAAAGATGATAAATGTGATGGTTTTGAACTTGGTAAAAGACATGGTATAATGATACGATTAAATGAAATAAATTGTGATGAAAGATTGATTCCTATATGAGTTGAGTTTGCTAATGGATTACTACTATTTACACTGCTTGTATCAGTAGATTTGAGATTCTTTAATGAATTTCTTAAAAGTTTTGGTGAAGCTGATGACATAGCACCGGTGGTAGTAGTAATATTGTTGTCAGGGAGAATAAAAGCACTTTGAGAAGAATTTGAAATTAAATTGGATGAAATTTCTGCAGATAATGAAACAGTTGGTAATGGTGATGAAATTGATCTGGATTCTAAAGAATATGCCATATTTTGTATTGATGTATTTGGTGAAATAGTTGGTGATTGATGATTTGATGGTTGTAATACATTTGAATTATTCTTTAAGGTGTATAAAATTTGATAACGCTCTAAGAGCTTTAAAAGTTTAATATGGAAAATTTCTGGAACAATATTAGGTTTCCAAACATTCTTTAAACTACTTAATAATAAAATTCCATCAGAATTTATATATTGATGCTTTGCCATTAATAATTTAAAGAAGCAGTCGCTTAACCATTGTGGGTCTAAAATTACAATATCTTTGAGGGATGACTTGGCGTCTTCAAACCAAACAATTGAACCCCATCTATTAAGAGTATTTGTTGCACGAATTAATTTTTCATAAGATTGAGGAGATGTAAAATTTGAAAGCTTTGCAATATTTTGGTATTCCTCCCATGAAACTATTGGTCTCTTTTTAGCCTCCTCTTGTAAATTACTTTCTAAGGTTAAATAAATACTTGGAATACGCTCATTGATCCAGTAGCTATTTGGGTTGTTATTATTACTTCCATAGTATGATTGTTGTTGTTGTTGTTGATTTAAAAGAGTTTTAATAATCTCTTGTTTTAAAAGGTCAATATTTCTTAAAGTTGTTGAGCTTACACCTATAACACCTGTAACTTCGAGCGAATGTTGATTTAAATAGCCTTCTACTTCATTTAATGGCACCATAATATCGCCTCCATATTGGTTAAAGCAATCAATGTGGGTCGCAACAATATAGATTGGGGCATCACGAGTTTTCTTTTTAATTGAATCAACCCAAAAATCGATACCACTATATCTTATGTCTTTGGTTATATCGAAAGTGATTAAATAGAAAGCACGTTCGGATAAAAAGAATTGATGGGTATGATAATAAACATCAAGTGATGGCATCTTGAAGTCATAAATCATTAATTTCAATGATCTTTTTTGAGGTCTTTTCTTTTCTGGGGTTGAAGTTAAAGAGTCTTTTCTACTTGGAGTAGAGGATGGTGGTGGCATTAAAGATCCAGATGAATTTAAACTTGTTAAATTATTTGATGAATTAGAACTTGGTATACCATAAAATGATTCTGAAGGTAAATCTAATTTTAACTCGTTGATTTCGATTGGTTCGTTGAGGAATACCTCAGCAGAAGTAACTTTTTTTAAGAAACTAGCAGACTGTTTAGATAGTGATTTGGTTTGAGATTTTGACAAAGCTTTAGCTAAAGAAGAACGACCTGATTTTTCACGACCTAAAATCATTAACTTGATGTAAGGTAAAGTTTCAGTACCCTCGAAAAGATCTTTTAAGTAGCCGATGATGTGGGTGAAACCTTTGGATGTAATTTCTTTTGGTGGCGACTTTACAGTATCATGATTAAATTCTAAAACTTCTAATTGAGGTAAAGTTGATAAAAACGGTGGTAATTCTGTGATTTTATTATAACCAGATACATTAAAAGACTTGAGACGAACTAAAAGGCCAAGTTCTTTTGGAATTTTTGAAATTTTATTATTACGAAGATCGATACGTTCGAGTAATCTTAGTTGGCCAATCATGTCGGTGATTGAAGTTAATTGGTTACCAGATACTGATAATTCTTCTAAATTAAATAATTGATATACAGGGATTGGGATATTTACAAAGTTGTTATGATTTAAATTTAATTTTGAAAGTAGCTCTAATCGACTAAAACTACTTGGGATATTTGAGAGTTGGTTGTGTGAAAGGTTTAAAGATTCTAAATTATACAAAGTGGCAATTGATTCTAACTGATGGAAATCTGATAGTTGGTTGAAAGATAAATCCAATATACGTAAATATTTACTAGTGTTGATAATAGTTGTCGGTATTGTTTGGACTGATTTATGTGCCAAACACAAATCATCCAACTTTTTCATTGAAACGTGATTAATAATAGCTTCAGGCTTTGTTAAAAATTCGTAAAAGATTTCATTACTATCCTCCATTGTTCTGTTATCAAACCCTGGCAATGATGATGTTGATAATGATAGCATCCCACTTGAAGGAGACGATGAAAATACTGATGACGATGAGGAGGACAATGGCGAAAAAAATGAACTATTTGTAATGTTTATATTATTACCATTACCAATATTATTATTGATTGGTATGGCTGTACTACTCGTATTTGATGTTGATGAAATTGTATTTAATGAGATTGATGAAGGTATTGTTGATGATAAAGTTCCGGACATTACTACGCCACCCCCTCCTATGATTGGACCAACCTCAATAAATATATTTAAATGCATCAAAGCACTACCAATATTTGTACATTCTTTTCTACTTATTTCTAATTTCTTTACTAACCAATCTACCAATTGTGAGCCAGAGAAACACTGAATAGTTGTATTTCCTTTCTTTTTTTTTTGTAATTTTACACCCTTATCGCCGTTCATTAATTCTTGGCTAAGCATTATCAATTCATCCTTGACTAATGTGACTGTATTTAAATCTTCTAATACAACTTTTTGTAAATCATTTATACTATATCTGTGGTGTTTTTTATTATAACTATTACTATTATATCCATTTGGTGGCTGATTAAATACTGGTGGTGGTTGTGATGTACGTCTATTTTTTTCATTTGAACTTGTTAATGATGATGATGGTGAGGAAGAAAGTGGTACCATTAATGATATTTGTGAATTTATTGAATTTACTGTTGTTATAATTTTATTAAATGTACTATTTTTACCTGTGCTGCTATATCTTAAATTGCCAACTTTAGTATCCTCAAATTCATAAAATATATAATCATCTTTAAATGGTTCTGATCCAACTACACTACATATTACACCCTAAAACAAATAAATTTTAATTATCAGTATTATTGATAGTATTAACTATTAGTTATAATTATTATTAATACTTACTTCATCTAAAAGTTGTTGACCAATTTTTACGGCATCTTCTCTTGATGTCATATTTGGGCAATTTGAATATAACCAATCAACTGCTTCGTATCCAATAAAACAATTTTTGTAAGTTTTATATAAATAACTTCTATCTCTTCTTATAAACCCATTTTCTGATTGTATTTTATTTTTTAATTGATCAAACTGAATCATTTAAAAAAAATAAATGATATATATTTATAATTAAATATAAAATGAAATATACAATGTAATGTAAAAAAAAAAAAAAAAAAATGAAAAATGAAAAATGAAAAATGAAAAATGAAAAAAAAAAAAAAAAATTATATAAACGGGGAATGAAAAAAAAGAAAAAAAATTAGTATAATGTTTTTTTGTTGATAATGATTTAAGACTTTTGTGTGAAAAAAAGAAAAAAAATAAAAAAAAATAATATTATTTATAAAAAAAATTATTCAGATGATTTAGAAAAAAAAAAATATCTATAAAAAAAAAAAAAAGATTCTTTAAAAAAAAAAAAATAAAAAAATTTATAAAAAAAAGTTTTATAAAAAATAATTTTTTAAAAAAAAAAAAAACCTTTCCTTCTATATCGACTTTTTTATCACAATACAAAATAATTAATATGATTATTAATACTTACAAAACTGCCTTGATCTTGGGTTAGGGTTATTTCAACTGTTTTATCTATACTTTTAATCATTTTTTTTTATTAAAATATTATTAAAAAAAAAAGAAACTTTATTCTGAACTGATATTTAAATTTATATATATATATATAATATTATTATATATATAAAAGGGGCTAATACTACTATATTATTGGAAAAAAAAAATTAATATTTGAGTAGTAATTTGAACACTTTGGTATTTTGGTTGTGTATTATTTTTGTTTATGAACGTGAAACTATTAAACAAATTCAGATTAACAACCAAATTATAATAAACTGAAAAAAAATAAAATAAAAAATAAAAAATTTTGAAAAAATAAAAAAATAAAATTTTTTTTAAAAAATTTAAAAGCGGGTTGTTTTTCTCCAAATTAATTGATTGATGATATTGATTATAGAGAGTGTGTGAACAATAATTATTTGTTATTATAAAAGATATTTTATTTGCATAGTGAGTGTTTTTAATTTTAAAAAAAAAGATATCTTTGCATATATTTT